TAAGTGATTTCTGACTGACCAGAAAAAAGATGAAGATGATGACGAATGTAGAGTAGTACAGAGGTCCCATGACACGATCCACTGCCTTCATGTCGTCCGCAAAGACGCCCACGAACGGCCTCCCCAGTCCCATCTCAAACAGCACGTACGAAGTTTTCTTGAAACCGGAGAAACTCTCCATGTTCTTGCCGAATATGAGGATCCCGCTGAAGCTGTAGGCCACTATAACCACCAGCATGTACACGGAGAACCCAAGGGCGGCCCTGTATATCAGCTAAGGGTAAACGGGAAGATTACAACTACTCATTTTTGAAGATTTTTGTTGTATAAATATTGGATAAAAAGTATACCGTTTACATCTGTACAGCCGATATGTCCGCCCTTGGGCGTGACAAATCAGCTTCGCTGACCTAACCATTGCAGAAAGTCATTTAAATGCAAACGTTGTTTAACGCTATCTATTTCGGGTTGAAATATGCAAGATGAGTTATACGTACCCGAGGCAGAGCGAAGACGGTCGCAACACTCTTGGAGAAGTTGAGAACCCGCAGGATGCTGAAGGTACTGATGAAGATGGAGAAGGACAGAACCTCCTTGAAGGCCGCATCCCATTGGCTGGCAGTGCTGATGTCCACAAACTCATTGATGCCGAGAAGCCCTGGGCAAAATTACATAAATTAGACTAACAAATGACTAAATGTGACCAAAAAGCAGCATTCATAACAGCATGATGTCATGGATACTTTTTATATGTGATGTGAAAAGTTTGCCTTAACAAAATGTCATCCCATGATTTCGCATCACCCTTTATTCTAGTTATTGCACCATTGAGGGCAGTTTTCTACACCTTTCTTAAGTTTTCTGTTCTTCTTTAACGTTTCACCTTGTGCAATGCCTGCCAATCCTCTGAAATGGATAACGCTTTTACACGTGAATATGCTTGCTATGAAATTAATGACAGTTAAGGTGGTTTGTCATCAAGTACCTTTTGCCTGTTGTATGTCATCCAAAGCAGCTGCTGTTTGGATGTACCGAAGCGCGAATGTCACAATGACGGCTGTGGACATGCCGATGTTGCACAGGATCAGGATGTTCCAAAAACTGACGAAGTAAAGACGACCGCTCTTCTGCACGTTCAAAATCTCGGTAAAGCAGTTGTAGATGTAGACAAGAACGAAGACGATGTGGAAAATCATCTGAATGAAGTCGTGTGCTGTTTCGTACTGGAACAGCCGGAAGGTGTGGATGGTGGGCTGCATCTCAGCAGCGCCCCCTGGGAGGTACTGCAGGGTGATGACCACGGTGCTGAACAGCTTCACGTCTGGGTGGTAGAAGTTGATCCGGAGGGTGAGCGTGTCTGAAACCATCAGGATCCAGTTGGTCTGTTTTAAGAAGTCTATCACCGCAGCAGCCTGGTCAGCGTCCTGGGGCAGATCTACTGTGGAGAAGCACACTGAAGTGCCGTTTCTGAAAAAAAGAATTACAGTCAAAAGACTCAAAATTGCCCAGGAGATGTACTCATGTGTAATATGGTCCATGTAGACATATGGTCACAAACTTAGGGTCTTATGTCAACGGGATATCCGGATGAACTATCTAAGGGACCCCTAAAAAGTGGCCACGTTGGCTACGTAAGTTATAAGTAGAGAATATATTGGTATCAAATTCTGCAATCATATATTTACATACCTGACTTCATTGACAATACTTGTAGTCCCATTGTGAGAACAGTTCCTTCCGTTCTGTCGGCCAACAGCTTCATTTTGTAGGAACATCTGCAGCTCAGGATAGAGCTTTTGGCCACTGTGCTCAAGATCTATGTCTATTGGGTTCTCTGGAAGTAAATGGATATCCATGTGAAGTCTTAGTGAGAAGTGAAATAATGCGTATTGAATTCGACCAAAGCAGCTTTGGTCACACTATCTGAGCCTTCTAGTCCGAACGGTATTAGCAATGGATTATTTCGCCCGAATATAACTCTCATTTCGTCATCCTTTATTTATAATTTCGAGGCGTGGAGCAGAGAATGGTTTTGTCATACAAAAGGGTCATACAAATGTTTACAATGCAAGCCCTAGAGAGTTTCTACCACTCCAGACCCCCGGGAAGACAACCAGATCGACAAAGACATAGGACTTGGTACGAAAGTAGCAGAATCTAGGGCCCTGGACCGTGCAACATGGATGAACCTAACTGAAGGGAGCAAGGGCCGGGCTATTGGACTTATACGGCTGGCGGAAAGGTTTTTGGACGTTTTGTCACCTGGATACTTGGTGGTTCTCTCCAGGCGAACCGGTCCGATCCGGAACGCGTTGGTTCCGGCCGGAAACTGTTTGTCCAGCCACCTGAGGGTCTTCCCGCTGTACCCGCGCTCCGGGTGGAGGGACGGCATCAGGTCAGACGACAGCCACTCCCAGGCACCGTCGGCTGTGGTCACCTGCAGGCGGGGAATGAACTCAAGTATGTTAGTCCACAGACTCCTGAGCTGGCAGCTTACGTGAAAAGGGACGACATGTAGCCGTGACTTTTTCTCATACAACTTACTTATAGGCGGATGGTTTTCATTTCATTTATTCATTACTCAGAGCGTAACATATCACCACAAGGGCATTTTTCAATGTTCCCTGCGGGGATACATTTACAAAAAAAAACATTTAAATAACAAAGAAGAAAACAAAGATACAAAATAACTTAGATCACAATAATAATAACATAGTGGTAAAAGTGCTTCAAAACCATACGACAAACTAATGAATTACACGAAGCAAACAAAATTAGTATAACAAATGAAATAAATAAAAATAGGTAATGGGAATTTACATGTTCTGAGTGTCAATGACGTACCTCCTCATATCCGGATAGAAGGCTGTTCTCTAGTGATGTTCTGACGTAGTAGGCATGCCTGTCGAAGCCCAGAACGCCGATGTAGAAGGCATTGCCGGTGAAGATCAGCAGAAACACCAGGAGGACCAGGATGTTCCTACCCTGACTCATCCTCTCGGTCCAGTTCGCGTCATGGTCGGTTTTCTTCGGGGCTGGTGGCAAAACCCTCCGAGCTGGAACTTCAGGAATGGAAACAACATGAATGAAGTTAGCTTTATGAAATGCTATAAACAAAGGCGTGTCAATTTCAGTGTGAATGTTACTATTGTTATAGATGTTTTGTAGGCTTCTATATATATGTATATACATATCTCAAAACGCATCCTTACGCAACCTTATTTAAAAGAGGACTTTTAATGACTGCATTGTCGTCAATTGTAATACCGACGTGACTGATCATGACGATCTTCCTTTTTCAAGTTTCTGCCACAGATTATACAAATATCAAATCTATATATAATCTATATATATTTGTTGTGAAACAAGGCAATTTTGCAAAAGCGAATCGAATGGCCAAAGAATCGTGGCCGTCTACTGTGGTCTCACATGTGAAACCTGTGGAGACTCACCATCATAACCCCTGCTCTTCCTCTGAATATCACCAAGTGGAAGACGGTCTTTTTTGCCCGATAAATTCTTCCCGAAAACTCCCCGAACACAGGCTGTCACAGTCCCCACAATAGGCCCGATGACGACTGCCTTACTGTAGGCGATCAGGAAAATCTGCAAAAGTTCGTACATTTGTTAAGTCACAAGCGTTCTTGAAGCTTGCTAATATCATTAAGATATTACCAAAGCCATCCAATTTGCAGTAATATTGCTACATACCACTGCCATAACATCTCAGAACACACGGAAAACCCCTCCTCTATCCTGTAGTTAATCTATTGAACGCCTTACCAATAAAATTCCATCCCTATCTGGTCTGAATCTTGTAATTATTTGGTAGTATTGTTACCACCTGTGTGTCTGTATCTTGTGATCTCTGTGGAAAGCGTTATGCCTAAAGGGTATTGAAGTAAACGAAGATAAAACATGACTAATACCGACCTGAATGGGCTCCAGTATGAATGTAGAGAACATGAAGGCCAGGACAAAGTCCTTCAGCCAGGCCTGGCTTCTCTCGGCTCCAAACTGCAGACTGTACACGATCACGAACAAGCTGCTGCCGACAGACGTCAGGATAGCGAGGATCCACGCTATCGTCTTGAACGAAAATCGCCAGGTGGATGAAGATGCCGGCGTTTCATACAGACCCGAAGGGATCTGATCTACCAACGAACGCTGCTTGCGAAACATCGGCACAAGGATGGCGTAAACTGGCAGGAACACCGTGAACGACGTTGCTGCAATGCCAATCATTTCCGAAAGGCGGAAAGTGACGAAGCCGGCGTCTAGCAAAACGACATCGCTCGCGCCCAGTTTGTAGCCGTACCACATGGCGCTGCCCACCATCCACAGGGTGATCTGAGTCAGGCAGCAGACCATCCTCTGTGCCCGGCTGAAGTGTCTCACACCGGAGTTACACACGGCTGACAGGAGCAGGTGGTCGTCGTACAGAAGGTACGAAAATGTCGGTAGGGTGTACTCGGACATCCTAAGGTACAAACCACATGTTTCACATCTAACCAGCGCCAAAGACAGAGAAAAGAAGCATGGTCGCTGACCACTGGACTACACACGCTACTATCAGTACTTACCCCATTTCCCCACCAGGGGCTGCCCTCGTGGTCCTGATGGTCCTTCCGTCTCCTTTGCAGGAGGAGAGCCAGGCGTTACACGGGAAATAGAATCTGTAGGAAAAGGCCACAATCCATAAGTCACTTCTCCATAGAAATCAGCAACATCAACGTGCCCCATAGGCCATCAACTTGCTCTAGATAATCTCGACTCATTGAGAGCGAGAATTAACTGACCGAATGGAAGAAGTAGGGGTTGGTTACAAAGGGAACAATACCTGGCTCCATTTAGACCGATATAAAAAATCAAAGAGCCGAAACGTACATCTTGAGTGATTCAAATCTATCTGCAAAGGAATGGACTTGGCGGCAACGAGTTCGAATCCACTCTACGATAGTTCTAGGAAGACAAGCGAGTGCTACTGTACCCACCCCTGCGATGCCTGTTCGTCCCAGACCTTGATGTTGTCTATGAAGAGTGACTCCATGTTGCCCTTCCCGGAGCCGTCGTGCCAGACCTGTACAGACTGGAGCTGGCCGATGGAGGAAGGAGTCGACATGATGTGGTACGTGTCACCACCTCTGGCCAGGACCTTAAGACATTTACAAACGGAAATTAATGATTATGATCATTGTACATATTGTTTCTGCCTATTCTGCTACATTAACGCGTTAAGAGACTTAGATACATGAACAAAACATATTTGATTGAACTGAGATTCATCGTTTATACAACAGAACAATCAGGTTCAGTTGTATAAATCAGGGCATTACAGCCATCCCTCAACAGAGACGGGGGGCGCCACAGACTTTCTGTAACCTATGATCCACTGCTCACGGGGTCACGTGTGACGGTGTGTTATATGCATGACGTCACGGAAGCGGTGGATTGCTCATTCCTTGACAAAGACTGGAGTTGTACAGTCGAAAATTTGGGTGAGTCCAATTTTTTTGTGTTGGCAATTACAGTTCAATCTTGTTTCATAATGTTCCAACTATTAGAGGAAGGAAGGTTTAGTCGTCCACTAAAACATTATTGATTAAATAAATAGTTCTCACCAAGCCATCAGGGTTGAGTGTGACCATGGGTGTCCTGCCGTCTGACCCTGTGACCATGAGCCCGACCACAGACGCCGTGCCGGCATCAGGCTGTGTTCCCGTACGGACACACACCACGTACACATACTCCGCACCGGGAACTTCGGACGGGATGGTGGAGACGCTGGGAACGGCCCCCAGTCCGGGGTTTGTTTGGGCAAGCCTAGCTGCTTGTCCAAGAGCAACGCTGTCGGCCACTGCGGTACTCATAGCGATGTGGCTCTGAAAAAAAACAACAGATATTGGATTCTTTTTATTCAAGTTTGGAAAACAATTGCTGAAACAATGATGGCGCCACCACCAAACAAACGTAAAAAGGCACAAGTGAACAGAAAACAGCTTCAATGATTGTATTCAATGATGAAATTATCTGACAACAGATTTGAAAGCGCAAGTCCATCCCCAACCCGATAGCAATTTTTCAGTGCTTCCATGTCACTTAATAAGGATGTAATTGGTCGGAGAAGATAGAAATATGAGGGTCCGAAAGCAGCTATCGTACTTCATAGCACAAGTGTATTGGATCCGTAGATGTCTTGACGTACCCTGATGTTTATCTGCAATGTCAATAGTTGGGACACCAGAAACACCATCCACAGCGCTAAGATCGTCCCAAACACGGTATAATTCGTGGACAACTTGTCGATGTTGCTTCCAAACTTGCTGAAGTCAACGAAATTTGGAACCGCCAGAAATGATGTTGCCAGAACCACTCTGGAACTTCTGCCCTGCCGTGTCATGTCACACGTGCATCGTGTGGTGTCCTCGTTCGTTTGAACCCCAACCTGCGGTGCAGATCTATAGCTCAACATCTCACGTAATCAATTCACAGGAAAGGATTTTAAAAATGTATCAATTTTCTGTCAATGAAAATCATAAGCAAAAAGTACTAGTTAATTTGAGAAGAATGAAAAAAATATTTAGAATGAAAAATATTTATGAATGATTATATACACTCTAGTTTATAGTCATGTAGAACCCAAAAGACATGTACATTATCATGTAAGCCATGTTCAATATATATACATGTTCTATATTACCTTTAATAAATAGTATAATGTTAGTTTCGATACATAGAACTTGTTAGCATTACTGTAGACGTGTGAGAGTAGATGTTAGCTAGATATGTAGTACTGGTGAGCATGTATAGTACCTGTTACAATTGTTGTGCAATAAAGATTAATTGTATTGATTGATTGTATTGATTCTATGACGTGTTCAACCAATTGAACCAATGGATAAGATCCTATCAGATCAATGATAAAAGTCAGTAGGAACCTTGCAGCGGCGGCTGTCCCAGGTGTGGTTGTCCATTTCCCGCAGCAGACAGGAGACTGTAGCAGTCTGCAGCAGAAAGCCTGCAGAGTCGGCAGGGGGCGCTGTCGCACGGACCTCTGACGTCAGGAGCCGTCTCAGACCAGTTTGGGACAGGTCTCCGCCTAATCCAGAAAGAAAAATGATAAAAATCACTGTGTTTAGTGCTGGGGGAGTATACCACCATTCATAGCGTTTGGTACTGAATAATGCAAAAAGTATACGTTTATTGAGAATTCTTGCAGTTGATGATAATTGATAAAGTGAAAGAATGAAGAATAATATAACTTGAAGAACATAATTGAAGCTTCTCATATTAGCTCAAAACTATAGCTAACAGCTTAATTTTGACATTTAAAAGGATAGATCAGCAGCATCAAACTGCGTTAGGAAATGCATAATAGGCAACGGTTACCTTTTTTCTTTACTCCAACGAAGAGCCATCCTCGTTCCTTCTGTATCTCCGGTACGATTGATACATTGAAACTGGAGTAGACAAGGCCAAACGGCATTTCAAAACCGTCGTAATCAGTGACTTCAGGAGGTTTGACAGTTGTGGTGTAGTCGTAGTCTTCCTCCGTTGGGAAGTCGTGAAACCGGATGTACGCCTGCAGGTCTGAGTCGACGTCATCGACGGAGAATCGAATCAAAGGAACTTGACCTTCGTCTGAGATGTAAACGGCGTGATACGTCATGTCCGTGACGCCAGGCTTGGGAACCTTGGACAGAGGGAAGGACGAGCTGCCGGCACCAGCAAGGTTCTGCCTGTACGATGTGGGCAGAGTGTCGTGGTACTGTTGCTCTGTGTCGCTTGTGGTACCAAACTGTACCTTCTGTTTGACGATGACGGTGATGTTCGACGGGTCTGACTGACTCCCGTCGACGTCATCCGTATCCTTGGTGATCGTTACCATGACGACGGATGAAGATACTTCAGTTTTCTCGACGCTCCAGACAAACGGATCATCAACAAATGCCACGACCTGAGGGGGGCACGGGAATGAAATGTCCTCACATTTTACTGACCACAATCATGCCAAAACCTGTTCTAGTGACCACCACTATAGTAGGACCAGCTAGACATTGATATACAGTTATACCTGTACTACTGACCACTACTATAATAGCAGAACCACCTGGCCATTGATATACAGTCAAACCTGTATTACTGACCACCACTACATAAGGACCACTTGGCCATTGATATACAGCCAAACCTGTACTAATGACCACCTACACATAAGGACCACCTGACCATTGATATCCAGACAAGCATTTACTATCATTGTGTACTATCATTGTGACCATATATGAGGACCACTTGGCCAATGTGTGCACATGTTTGTGTCCCTTGGATGATTTTATGTCTATAGTATATATAGTGACCACCTGTTAACATTGACCAGATTTTAACAGCACACTAAGTGATCGTCTTGGGTAGCCTGAGTGTCAGCCTTGTTAGCTTTCGTCCACTCATCAATATCCGCTCCCCGCCGTTAGCGTCCGCCCGCCGGGAGCGGATCTTGGGGAGCGGACGAAAGCTAACAAGACTCAGGCTACTTCTTGGGCAGTTCTTTACTGAAATTGTTGCGTAAGCCGGAACGATCCAGCTTCAGAAACTTTTTCTTACCTTCATAGTGGAGCCCTCAGGAAGGTTGTCCTCCTTGGTAAACACGACAGACCCGACATCCTGGCCGATAGGAACCACACCGACATCAGGGATGCCCTTCTTCACCGCCATCAACACTCCGTCAGACCGGAAGTACGTACTTTCTCCTTCCGGTGGTGCCTCCTCCAACAGTCTGTCTGCTGCAGCATTCAGGAGCTGCAGCAGATCTCTCGTTTCCCCAATCACCTGCAGGTTGGGACAAATTTGGAAGCTCCATGAGCCGAATGGATTTTTGATATAGCAGTATCTGTGTCTTTATCTGATTGTCACAGGTTATCCTTCGGGCATTTCTGGTTAGACGTTGTGCCATAGGAAAGGCACTTAACGCGACTAATCCCTGGTGTAAAATGGGTACCTGTCTTTGGTTGGGGAGGTCAAGGGTAGTGGAAGGAGAGGGGCGAACTCAGAGTGCCCTCCAATATTGTGCCCTAGAAACAGTGCATAATAAAGGCACCCGCTGCAATTTTTAGGGCTTGAGGCCAGAATTTTCAAAGTCAATAATCTAGTCACTTGTCTACATATAAAGTTGATACAACACTAGGGACCTGGGCTGATTTTTAGGGTACCACCCACTCATCTTGGGACTTGTTTCTGCAGTTCTAAACGGTCAAATTATGAAATAATGAACCAAGTAATGTAAGCCAGTGTGTCAATATAATACAGATTTCCTTATTCAGAATATTTCCAGTTTGCCACCCTGAAATTGCATTGGATGTCTTTAATAACCCACTTAAATAGCCTAAGCTAACTGGCCTATGAGAGTATATTTTACATTTTCAGACAGGGAGAAACAGGTACATACCCGGGCCTTGAGACGTTCTTGTTCCTTTTTCTCCTGTATCAGCTGTTCCATCGGTGACAGGTCGGTAGACTGGGGGTCTACCAGCTTCTTTAACCCATCTGTGACGCCTGAGGAGAGGTCAAAGGTCGTCTCCTTGGCAACCGTCTCCCTGGTGCTGCTCTGAACCCGCAGTACGGAGGAGGTCGCGTCAGTCACTTCTGTAAGTTTGGGAAGAAACATGTAGTCAGATAAAATTGCTAACAAGACTGGCAATGAAAACAGACATTGTCATGGCGACGGTGGTTGCTGTTAGGGTTATTGTTTGCATCGCACTGCCATGATTTAATGATTTTGAGGAAGCCTTGGTACCTACCCTCCCCTGAGAGTATATTTTACGAGCCCCGGGGACACAGAAAGTAGGGCGTCGGGGCAGACAGGTTTCCCAAGTGTTTCCAGGAATGTGGGAATGTCAACAAACAGAGCTGGGAGACATTCCTGTGGGCATTCCATGCCTGTGGACAAAATTCCTGTACAATTCCTAGAATTCTTGCGAACTGCACACAATACTGTACCATTAGGCTCCTCCCTGAGACGTCGCCAAAGTGACTGATGAGAACAAAGTCATTATAATATTCTTATATTCTCTCTCCTAGTCATGCCTTTAGTTCAATGAACTGTAAGTTGTCCGCCTTGCAGTCATTTATGGCTTCATAGCCTTTTCTATAACGCATTATTTGACATCATGCTCTGCGTCTTTGTTGGTTTTGTTTCATTGTTTTAGTAGCAATTGATACATTGTAGAATCACACTGCATAGTAGATATGCCAAATGATCTGCCATGCCAAGATATTTTCTGATTTTCTGATAGTATCTCTTCACTTATAGATCTAAATAAGAAAACTCTATTAACAGTCTTCATAAAAATAACACATGGATAAAAGTACTTGCGTAAAAAAACGATTGTAACAGAAGAAAAAAAAACCTTGGAGAAGTTCCTTGCGATCCCCCAGAGACCCGCTGAAGTGGTTCACCTTCTCACTGAGGGTCTTGATAAGAACAGGGATCTCCTCCTGCAGTTTAAGGAATTGTTACGCCACATCTTAGAACAGAACACAAAACATAAAAAACGCGGAAAAACGAAGAATGCAGATCATACAATACAACTGAAACAGGAAATCGAAGATTTTAGTCTTCCTGGAGATACATGTAATCATCGGCTTCCTGAATTCTCCCAAGTCTACATCCAATACCTATTGCCTCCTGATTAGACCTTTGACCTCCTGTGATCCTGCCTGTCAATCTCCATCCAAGCCTATCCACGTGCTTTCAGCCTACTCTGTCCGGACAGACACACAGGCACACACTAGCTCAGCCACCCCAAACGTTGTTCCGTACCTTTGAATGACAATAAATGATGAAAACAAGCCTGACATGGAGAATTCAGGATTTATAGTTATTTACCTCTATTAAAAACGGGGCTTGTGTTGACCATGCTTGAGTGACGATGAAAGCAGCAGGTTGAGGTGTACTGGGCGGCAGAGTGGGGATTGTGGTCGTGGGCGACATGTTCTCGGTGGAAACTTCATCGTCCAAGTAATCAGACGATTCCCCATCAAGTGCTGTGGTGAAAAGTAAGAAATTGTCAAAAGGCCTACTAAAATGATCAGAATGTTGGGAAGACTTTTTATACTCCTCAGTAGGGATTCTTTCAGTCAGTTATCTGCTTGGAAAAAAATCTCATTCAGATTTTTAAACTAATCATAAATATACAAAACATGCTTCTAGATCTTGCCTACATTGCGCCGATAAAGCAACTCGTGTACCTCCGAAAACAAAACGCGTTGTTGTCTTTCTGACGGCTGTTGTTGAGCTTGTGGTCGACATCAAAGTTGTTGTAGCAGGCGTTGTAGTTGCAATGAAAGTTGTAGCAGAGGTTGTAGTTGTAATGGAAGTTGTAGCAGGCGTTGTGGTTGTAATGGAAGTTGTAGAAGGTGCTGTAGTTACTTTCGTTGGTGTCGTTGTTGAAGGTTCTGCAAGAAAGATGAGCGTGTAATTGCTAACACAAGAAGACGGATACAGATAATTACTGATGTTTAGGAGCAAAACAGACTTCCTTTAATATTTCAGCGGTAGCCTTTATTTCGTACCTTCAGATTGGCAGAAAAGATTCTGTTCCGTCCATGACCCATCTGCCGAGCAGGTTCGGGCTATGACGTCACCGGAAGTGACGTGATATCCCGGGGAACATGGGTAGGTGCAACTCTCCCCCAGGAGATAGGGGCAGTCACACACGGGCCCGGTAGTGTTGGCTTGGAGAGGTGGGTCAACACAAACTCCTGGAAATCCATCTATAAAAATGGGGAATTCGTGATTGTTTGTTCATTTGTCTCAAATTCTTGCCCTACAGCTAATTAACAAGAAACTGAAAATTAAGAATCATACAAAATATGATTACTCATGTCTATGAGCTGGCTCAGACTTCTTACTTGTTGGGTTTGGCTTTTCACAGTGGAAGACAAAAGATTCTATTTGTTGTAATGTGTGAGTTTCTGTGTTTTTTTCTTTTGTGTTGAAACAGGGAAAATGGAATTCGTTGGGTTCTTTGTAAATCATTGTAATCATGTGCCCATATGATGATATTAATCTGCAATATCTTCCAAAGTTTTACCTTGTGTACAGTTGAACTTCAACTCTCCTGGAACATTCTTGGTCGCGTACCCTGCACGGCTGATGTCAGCGATGAAAGGCTGGGGGTCCGTCCAGTTCATGAAGGGCTCGACATCTCCACTCCTGCCGACACCAAAACTCCCACCTTTCGACCAGCAGATCCAGAACCTTCGGAACTCTTCAGACGAAGTCATGTCTGAGCAGCAAAATCAACATTTACCACCAAGCACAGGAATAAAAATGACAAAATCTCAAAGCTTTATGATACCTTGTTATAGATAACTAATGTGCGAGATTTTGGATGTCGACCAGATTTGACCAAACAGCAAGCCTAGAGCCGGGCCCAGAAAAGTGTCAACCAATCATGGACAGTTGCCAATGGTGACAAGTGTGATTGACATCTTATTTTCATCAATATTAATTAGCTACGGATGGTGATTTTCTGGGCCGTTTTGAACCAGCGTGTGCCATGGCAACGTTCAGACTGTTACCTGGTGTGTCCTCCCTTGCAACTCCCGCACGTTGACTGCCGACTCTCTGGCTCTTAGACCTTCCGGATTGGATTTCTATACGGTATCCGCCTCCTCCCGGCACTTCTAGGCGGATGACCACGCCAGCCCCACTGGTGTTGACCTTGACCTCAAAGATGAAGGGCGGGGAGACGACCGGAGGAAGATCTCTCGTCACTGGCATGTGATCGCCATCCCCAAACTTCGTAATCGAGCACGATGCTGATAGGCAAAGGAAATAGTGAAACAGTACAACCAGGAAACCAGAAACAAGGGTTATATACGTGATATATAGAACAAACACTAAGAACAAACACTACTCCCTTTGACAAAGCAAAGACATGTAGAAACTGTATTGTAGAAACCAAGGAGAACTCCATGTAGAAACACACACGCAGAGACAGTCACTTTCAGATAAACACAACATACGCCTTTTACGACCTAGCAAGATCTCTAACAGGAACATTAAGGACATGGCTATCATTACTTCATGTCTTATTTGCTTTACATTTCTTTTGTATAAATACGCCTTTTTTTACCTTCAGGTTGGCAGAAAAGATCCGGTTCCGTCCATGACCCATTTGACGTGCATGTTCTGGTTATGACGTCACCGGAAGTGACGTGATATCCCGGGGAACATGGGTAGGTGCAGTTCTCCCCCGGCAGATAGGGGCAGTCACACACGGGCCCGATGGTGTTGGCTTGGGTCGGTGGGTCAACACAAAACCCGAAAAATCCATCTGAAGGGAGGAACAAAAGTTAAACCAAACCGGGAACGTGTGGAATATTGCTTGACAATGATAAGAAACTGCAAGTTAACTAGGTTGGACCCAATACAACAACAGAAACCTACTGTTAATGCTGCAGCCTAGAATCTCCACCCTCATGGCGATGCGAACATTCCATGACTGAGGGTAGAAGCGCACATAACGGGCTTCAACTGGGTTGTCCAGTAGGTTCGTTACAGGGGTGCGCTGGTCCGTGTTGCCTGTAAAAACCTGGAAAGGAAAAGGATAACTCAGATTATAGTATTCATGATTTACTCATCCCTAGATTTTCGTCGATGCAAATAAACCCAAAGTCTTCATGCTTCCCATCCGAAGAAAGCAAAGAATAATATGTGCACTGCTCTACTGTTCACAATGCTCAGGAAGTAATGTTTCAATAATATAGTTGATATATGGTTAGTTTAGAATTTAACAAAAAAGTAGGAAAATCCTTCATGTTTACGATACCATTTCTGAGCCATCGCCGTCAGTATATGTCGTCCAACTGGACCCATCCGCACTGTACAGGAGTTTGTACGACGTCACCCAGTTTGGATTTCGCCAGTGGCGACCCTGAGTACTGGTCCCAGTGACGCGCTTCATCTCTCCTAAATCCACCTAAAACAATAAGTTTTTCGATATAGAACAAGTGTGGACGATCGGCCAAGTGCTAGTAAATACGAGATCGAGAGGTTATGAGTTCGATTCCTTACATTCCTGTCCAGGACTTGTGTACTTCGGATAGGCACTACAAATTTTCCTCAAACATGCGTGCGGTGAACGGCACCGCTTTTGCCTCCATGAAGTTAGAAGGAAACGGTCGATTTTAAGTAACCACAACAAGATTTTCTCATGTATCAAAATGTTTACCTACCTGCAACCATTCCCCGATACTGTTGTTATCCGCTATCCAGGAGCCCCAGCCAGCTACTCCATTTAACCGTGCGCGGTAGGGCTTGTAATCGGTTACACTAGGACTACCTCTGATCGAAGATGCAGTGATGTTGTCATCAGGTATAGCACCAGACTCCATTCCAAGCGGAACCTGGCAAACTGTGAAGAAAAGAGAACTGATTCAGTTGGAATTCCCCTTAAAATGACCCATGAAGCCAATGGGTACTTGTTTGTAATTTCCTAAACCCACCTGTGGTGAATGTCCCATTGATAACTCCGTTTGGCTGATCGTCCTCGTCAAAAGAAGTCAGCGTGAGGGTGTATTCCGTGTTGGCCAGCAGTCCCTGCACTGTTGCTGAGGTGGCTCCAAACTCTGGCGCGGGACACAGGTCCTGGTACGAGCCCGACCCGTCTGCCGGCTGGTAGCGGAGCCTGTAGCGCGAGATCGGATGATTCCCTACGACTGTCCAGGAAACGGTGAGATGACCAGACGCGGCATCATCGAGGCGCAGTCCTGATATCAATGTCACTGGAAATATATGATACATTTAGTAACAATGACAACCTCTGTACTCTATAGTGACCTTCTGAGAATCTCCGGAAAATATCAGGAAGCGGAGAATGGAGCTGGCTGGACACAGTATCCGACACGCTGAGCTGTTAGCTAGCCAGCTCATCCTGTGGGAGTCAGCAGAGGGAAGGAAGAGTAGGGGCAGAAGAAGCAGAAGAACAACCTACATTGACACCCTGAAGCGGAATGCTGGACTCAGGGACATCTCTCTGATGGATGACAGAGAGGAGTGGAGGAGAAGGACCCACTGTTTCACGTGATGGCATCCCAGATGTCCACGTTCAAGGTTCAAGGTAGTAACAATAATAAAACATAGCAAGTAAACCAAAGAGTCACCAGTCTCTGACCAATCCAACCAACAACAGAAACCTACTGTTAGTGCTGCATCCAAGAATCTCAACCCTCATTGAGATTTCATCATTCCAGGTCAGAGGGTAGAAGCGCACATAACGGGCTTCAACTGGGCTGTCCAGCAGGTTCATAACTTGAGTGTCACTGTCCGTGTTACCTGTAAAAACCTGAAGGGTAAACGTATAATTCAGATTAGGAAATTTGAAACTGTTCTGTAGATGTTACTATTACTGACCAAACAACCTTAACACCGTTGATATTACATAAAAAAGGAGGAGCTTTGAGAGAAGATGATTGGGACGTGGCAGATTCTGTATGGGACAGTCAATTTTGGAATGGGGAGGGATTAAATGGACTGAAATATACTGTATTTGCTTCAGAGCAAATGTCGGCCTATCTACTTACAATATAACTTACTATATGACTTATCCAACGGATATCAGTAAGGCTTGCAGGACAGAATTAATAGAATTGTTTATTTTTGTATCTAAGTTACCTCATCTAAGCCATTGCTGCTGGCATATGTCTTCCAAGTAAATTCATCTGCACTGTACTGGAGTTTGTACGAGGTCACCCAATTGTCCACCCGAGGGCGACCCTGAGTAATGGTGCCTGTGAGGTGCTTCATCTCTCCTAAATCCACCTAAAAGGCACAATTATTTTCCCTTTTGTTAGAAAGTAACAAAGTATACGTATACACGTTGTACATTTAGTACAAGTTGACGGTAGCTGAAGCTGGATGACAAAACAATGACATTAAATCCCAAATTACCATGCATATCAATCAACCGCAGGCATCAAGGGAGGCATAGCGGCTGTAGACAAGTCCCTCCCAAAAATTCTGATATAGTTGACGGTAACAAAATGTTCTATCTGTCTAAGATCAACAACTAAGTTGAAACGTAGCACACAATGGACTACTTCCGAACAGGTTAAACGTGTATGTAAATAATTTTTAATGATATAATGCTGTATTTTATGTAAATGACTCCAGGAAGAATAGTGATGTATTATCACTAATGGGAGCTTCCTAAATAAAAAAAACAAACAAACAAACATGGAGTTAGAATGAGATGTTCCCAATACGGCAGAGTAGCAAACTTAAGTGCTGCGAAGGAATGAATTGCCTTCCATGACGTTAATAGGCCCTTTCCAAATAAGCACAACACTATTAAAAAAAATCTTTCAAAATGTCTACCCACCTGCAGCCACTGTCCGACACCGCTGAACCTAGGCATCCAGGCGCTTGAAAGTAGGTTTAACCGTGCGCGGTGGGCCTTGTAATTGGGACCCATATACGAAGAAGGGGTCATACTGTCGTCAGCTACTGTGGGAGATTGGGAGACTGTTATACCAATCCCAAACCGATGCTGACAGACTGAAAGACAAAAGAAAATTATGTTACATTTGGTTTTTGGTGTCTCCTGCAGCTGAAAATCTTAGCCGTATTTGCCAAAAAAAAACAACAGCGAGACAGTTTTGAAGAATATACGATACCAACAGGTGATTCGTCTATTCGTCTCAGTACATGAACACAACACTACAACCATGTACCAACACAGCCACATGTAACTAAATCTATTCTAACCTGTTGTGCATGATTCCTTTAATCGTACTTTAAATATTCATTCAAATCACGAAACAGACGAAAAAGTGTTTCCCTCTGGGTTAGCGCGTAGCAATGGTAAACTAAGCTGAAGGAAAAGTTTGTAATTCTATTGTACTAAACTCTCATCACGTTATGGCTATGCCTTTCTGCCTATGTTACATAAACCTTCATACATGCTCGTTTTGCCCAAAAAAGATAGGCAATGAAAATGGTCATGACCATCCCAAGAAAGACTTGGAAGCTATTGTGTTTTATACTGGACGATCTCATACATACGTCAAACATGGTTCCTATCCGACAGACTACGTAATTCGTATACAGTGTAGCACAAACCCGTTTTCCCGATGTTAATCATTTCACCTTCTCACCTGTGGTGTATGTACCGTTGATAACTCCGTTTGGCTGGTCGTCCTCGCCAAAAGAAGTCAGCGTGAGAGTGTATTCCGTGTGGGCCAGCAGTCCCTGCACTGTTGCCGAGGTGGCATCCGGTCCTGGTGCGGGGGTGAGGTCCTGGGACGAGCCCGACCCGTCTGCCGGCTGGTAGCGGAGCCTGTAGCGCGAGATCGGAAGTCTCCCTTCGACTGTCCAGGAAACGGTGAGATGACTCAACCCGGCATCATCGAGGGTCAGCTCCCAGAGCAATGTAGCTGGGAATATACGATATATTGATCAGCAATTATAAAACACTGCACTGGCTTTAGACTAGGTTCGACTTCAACGAATGCAGAAAACTAATTCAGCTGTTCGTGAAGCAGACTAGAATGTCAACACTCATGGGGAAGTGTCAATATTAAGACTATGCAGTGTTCTAAAGTCTGACCAATGCAACAACAGAAACCTACTGTTAATGCGGCAGCCTAGAATCTCCACCCTCATGGCGATTTTAACATTCCAGGACTGAGGGTAGAAGCGCACATAACGGGCTTCAATTGGGTTGTCCAGCAGGTTCATCACAGGATTTTTTCCGCCTGCATCAAAAACCTGAAAGGTAACCGGATTATTCAGATGAGGGCATTTAAACTTTTCTTTGGATGTTCTTCACTAAAAACGACCCAACAATCTTCATACCTGTCATCAGTAGAGGAGAGCTTTGTGAGAAGATAATATATAAACTGGACAGATGAGAGCGAGGTGCATTATGGCATTTCGAAGGGAATACAATCTATGGCTTCAATATACGTACCAACAGATATCAGTAAAGCTTGCAGGATAGAATTAATGTTATTTTTTTTATCTTCATGGGGTTTTTGAGAACAATTGTTACGAACATATTACCACATTTGATACTGGACGGAAAAGGTTGATATGGAACAGTCCATTTTGAAATGGGGAGGGATTATCTGGACTGAAATATGTTGTATTTGCTCCAGAGCAAATGCCTGCCTTTCTAGTTACAATATAAATTACTACATGACTTAACCAACGGATATTAGTAAGGCTTGAAGGACAGAATTAATGAAACTGTTTATTTTTATATCTAAATTACCTCATCTGAGCCGTCACTGCTGGCATATGTCGTCCAATCAGTCCCATTTACACTGTACTGGAGTTTGTACTTCTTCACAAGTTGTTCTCCCCATCCACGTCCCTGGGCAATGGTGCCCGTGACGGGCTTGGTCTCTCCTAAATCCACCTAACAGGCATAATTATGTTTACCGAAGGAAAACATATTGTTTTTGCTCTGTTTCCTCTTCTTCTCCAAACAAACAAGGTCAATGACCTGAACCAGACGGTCTATTACCATCGTAACTGGTGCAGAGTTTCATCATGTTGCAGTTTTATAGCAGGAGGGATTTAGACTCCTGCCACCATTGAGTAAGAATTAACAGAGCAGACAATATGCGAAGGTAAATATTTTTTTTTTCTTTTGGTAGAATGTAACAAAAACACAAGCGCAAATCTGGCTGATAATACTTGATAATACTCGTAGCTGACATTAACTAGGCGCCATAACAGTGACACATTAATTTCAAAAGCAGCCAATTAATAATTTCAAGTTAAATCAAAATGTTGCGTACCGTTGAGATGAAGGAAAATGACGTCGACCTTTTGGGTTAGATCAACTACGACGTTGGTACTATTTCAACTGCACTATACTGTGTACTAAAGCGTGCTATATTTTAAAATATAGCATAAAGCTGCGGTGGATCGGATGGAATTACCAAAACAAAAAAAAGACATTTCCAACTGAGCTGAACAAGATTTTCTGTCAAGATGTTTTCTTTTTTTTATTCAGATAGTTCTAAAGACTATACATTTTGTACCTGAGTGTTACTGCTGGTGAAATAAAGAAACTGAATTTTTATTCATTACTTTCTGTGTGCTACATTAAGCCTGCCCTAGTACTCCTACTCAACCTACTGTCAAGATGTTTTCCTACCTGCAACCATTCTCCGACGGCCTTGTGTGCGGGCACCCAGGCGCCCCAACCGGCAAATGAGTTCAACCGTGCGCGGTAGAAGTCGCGGTTTTCCACATGCTCCAAGGATGATGCAGTGATGCTGTCATCAGGTATGGCACCGGATTCCATACCGAGCGGATCCTGGCAGACTGGGAGGAAAGGAAATTATGTTCCAGTTATTACATTGAAGGATTTACAACGGCAAGTAGTCGGTGGCGGCCTTGGTCGCGGTTTAAAGATGGGGAGAGGGCTCAGTTGTTCCAGTTGTTTTTCAAGATGTCTTTAAAATGCCATATGTAGCGATCGAGAAATGTTAATTGCTTTTACCGCAAAATATGGCACGGCAACTTTGAAGAATATGCACTATCTAATGTCTAATGCATATGTTTAGACATTATGTGTAAGATCATGGACTATCGGAACGATAAAAAAAATTCCCTTTACGTTTCAGTAGTATTATAATTTCTTTTGTACCTTGGCAGACAAGATCCGGTTCCGTCCATGACTCATCTGACGTGCATGTTCTGGTTATGACGTCACCGGAAGTGACGTAATATCCCAGGGAACATGGGTAAGTGCAGTTCACCCCCGGCCGATAAGGAAGGTCACACACGGGCCCGGTAGTGTTGGCTTGGGTCGGTGGGTCGACACAAACTCCTGGAATTCCAAATATGATGAACAGAGGCAGACTACCAAGAATGGTTGAGATAATGATTGAGACAGGTCAAAGGTGTGTCAAAGGTGTCACAATTCAGAGAAGCCACTTTCAATGGGTCAGTCTACCGAGGTAAACCAATTTAAAGTGACTGATCGAAAGCTCTAGGTGGGAACAATCCATTACTTGTTGTATGTTGGACCACAATCTTCTTTCGTTTCCAGTTTGTAAATTAGGAACGCGCTTCTGCAAGACAGTTTTACACTTGCTGCATGGTAAAGTAAAATCTCATGAATGAGACTTTTTTTGCGGTGCTTTATAGCAATTGTCAAGGGCTAGCCCGGAAATAAACGTTAACATACAGCTGTGCATCTAATTCCATGGTCTTCGTACACAACCTGACAAAGTCACACAATACAACGATCCTTGAAAAAAAAGTAAAATCACAATATGTTTTAAATATAATTCTTAGTTAAATAGATTAATACTCAGTGCCAAGTATTATATCTTTTGTTATACTGTAAGGGATAAACCACCACCATATTCTATGTTTTTGTTTTAATGAATGAAGTTAATAAAAAAAATTAAAAGTTTAAATAACATTATGGATGCTTAGGCCTTCTCATCTGGATGCCTATGTGTAATGGCGACTCCATCGCATTTTCACGCTGAAAACAGTATTATTGACAGTTGAATGATGTTCTGAAACATCAGTCTGACGGCTGAACAGAACTGGAAAGGATTTTTAATCTACAAATGGAGGCACACCCAGCCATGTGTAAGGTAGTAAAATCATCGACGTGTGGCGGGAGGCACACCCACCCTGCACACAAAGGTTTCAATACGATTTTCTACAAATGTAGAAGATTTGTACTTTTAATCCGGCAACAAAAATGGTACAGGTGAAACTAGTTCCATAATTTTGTTTAAAACTGTTTCACTTGAGGTAAGCCGTCTTAGTTCTTTTGAGAGAAAGACCTTTGACATCTTCTCTAGAGAGGATGACAAGCCCAATTAGTTTGTACTTCAGTCATCGGTCTGTTTCGAACACACCCAAAGAATAACAGCACATATCATTTCTCAGAAATGTTAGTGCCAGGCTCAATGCCCATATCAAAACACAACAACAACAGTATACAAATATACAAAATTCTACCGCTTCTAAACAGTACTGCATGCATGTATATTCCTGCAGTCTAACAATGAGCGGGAGAAAGGACAATCCGGAATTATTTGGCCCAATATACCGGCTCGAAGAGATTTTCGAGAAGCGCAGTAGTTCTATTAAGCCATTTCTTGACGCTAAAAAAGACGGTATCGTATGCAGAACTGTGCCTATCTATTTCTATGCCCCAAGGCTGAAAGGAATAGGATCAGGCACTGTTCTAATCTATACAGAACCGTGCTTGAGCATGATTCTGGATAAAGCACGGTACCGGAGGCAACATGTGGCATCCAGTTCTAGAGTGCGCCAGCTTTTGCCACCTGGGGTTGAAGGTGTCGACTCGGGATTAGTTGCACGAATAATCGACCATATTGCGCACCTTTTCGACAAAAGCATTCTGTAAGTTCCATGATCATAGTACTAGCAGCCATGAAGCTGCTCAAAGCCAGGCAAAAAGCAGACCATCCCCTCCATGATTTGGTTGAGGGGCTGATGAGCACAGGGAGGTCCTTAAGGAACGTGGGAGGGCCCAGAGTCCCCATGGCAAGAACTTCGAGACTGCAGATTCGTTTCTGCACCACACAATCAGACTCTACAACAGTCAGTTGCAGACTTAGTCTTTGTGTTTTGTATTTGATGGTGTCGTGAATCTATATGTTTTGTTCGTGCTCGCATTGCATTTTATGTACATGTACGTGTAAGGCCAAGGCTGCAGGGCATACACGGAAAGCAGTGCGTATAGCACTGAGTGTGTCCATCCTGTCTAAATAAAACTGAAATAAATAAATAGATAAAATTCAGCAGTCCATAATGATATTATTTTAATCATAATAGTCAATATACCCGGCTGCTATGTTGACCATTGTTTGAATAAAGAATAGTACCGCCTACCTGTTACACTTGTTGCAGAGAGAAGAATGATGCAGCAGATGGAAAAGACGATAGCATCGTGCCGCGAAGCCATCCTCCCAACGGGCGCGTTCTTCGGAGTCTTCGGGAGCAGACGCGGGTGTTGCCCGTACGACTTTCGTCACTGGTCCGGTACGTCAACGACAACGTATACTTTTACGTCCTTTTTTTCAACGACAGAAGGTCCCAATGTGCGGACCAAGGCGCGGCGCTCTGTGCTTCTTCGTTTGCCTGTTGCCACGACTTCGGAACTTGGCAACACCCAAACACGTCATACGAAGGGACAACCCTATTGGCATGGATGGGGGGGGGGGGGGTGATGTTTACAATATTAGTAAGCGGTTTCATGCAATGCATAGTCGCTTCAATTATTGCTTACTTAAATTAAGAAATTTTACCTGTTCATACTTTTTTTCTTTTACATAGTATACATGCAACAACACTGCAAGAAGTTGAATGTTGGAGGTGTTTGCATATTGTTATCGTCCATCTATCCACCGCTTGCATCTGGGCGTTAACTAGATAGAGCTGCACGTACGTCTTTTGTTTTGGGGTTAGATCCAGACGGGTGGACAGGAGAAGGAATACGCCCTAAAGGTGGAAATATATATAGACATGACGGGCTGAAAACGTGGTGCAGTCAACTAAGGCCCCGTTCACACGTAGACGCTGTGACCGCTTTCGATCCAAATTCCATCGAAGCCGGACTCAAGTGGCCCCATCTGAACGCTCCAAATCGCATAAAAGCGCCTCGATCTCAAACCACCTCGGGAGGTAGTTTCGAACCAGTTTCACCGGATTGCGATTTGCGTCTGAACGCGATGTGATTCCAATTTGACATCAAGCGAGCAGGTTGTTGACCGCTGACATTGATAACACGCTACCTTGCGTATTTTTCATCAAACGACAATGAATGTAGTTTAGGCAAATCGTACTCGGGCACGGTTTGAAAGGGCCAAACTGTAGTCATCCAAGTTGGAGACCATCCAAGACTTACGCACTGCAGCAATTTAGAGGATGATGTGGAGGCGGAAATGGAGGAGAAAAATATCTTCAAGTCTCTGGCATTTTTTGGCGATCAACAGATTCAGAGGATTTCAGACATTAAGACATTTCAGAAATTAATTATGATAAGAAGAGAAGAAAATGAACAAAACGCGACAAATCTATTTACTTTCTCATCATTTACTAAAAACAATTGTACAGAGTATGAAGAACGATTTCCCATTGTAATAAAGGGAAAACAACTTGCATTATTACATGGAACTCTCAGGAAATTGTACAATAATTTCAAACTATACAAAAAATCATGCTCAATGTTCACAGACTAAAAGTACATCAGATCTATTATTTTAGAAGGCTGTTTCGAAAGAAAACTGTAAGTCTTACTTTAATATTGGAACCCTACTTGGACACCATACTCAAAAACACTACAGGATAAAATTTGTTTAGAGCAAGAACATAAAAATGTACCCATTTGATTATGACATTCAGGTTGCTTAGTCAACATTACTGTCAATTTGTCGCTGCTTTCCTATGGGTATAACAGGAGAGGGAGTTAAATTTAGTGGTTTTGGTTTCAGAGTTTGTTCTGTGTGGTGTTTTTAATTCATGAAGTAAAGAAAAGTATTAAGTAGCAACCTTATATGGAAGTTTTAAAAGTTAACTTGAGTCTTCTTTTAAGATATGTTGTAGATGTAATGTACTGATTATTTTCAGGATATGTAACGTACAGACCGTAGCCAATCAGCCCATTGGTAGTTACTGATAATCAATTCAACCAATCGCCTTCCTTATTTCTGAGCTGAACACTCCTATTGGCTAGTTCCTGATAATCAAATTACTTTATAATACTTTATGGTCAGCTTGCCAGAATAAAGGGTCATTTTAATACATGTATGTTATGAAGCATGACTGCTAACAAAGAAACTGTCAGTGGGTACATTTCAACATTTTGTATTTTACTTCATCATCTAGAAATTTATCATAATTGTACTTGAGACAAAGAAGGGATTCCTAAATAATCATAATATTGTACAGGATCAACATGTACAAACTGCGAGATCTAAAGAATCCACAAAACACTAAATATTACACACTTATGATCAATTATGATAATTTCAATTCTTTGTGCCCGCACCAAAAAAAAAATTCTACAACATGCATATAACACCAACTCTCTCTATACATTATGACACAAATGTGACATTTCTCTAAGTACACTCTTGTGAAATTTTGCCAACTGCCAAATTTTTTTCTAACCTTACTTTTAAACTTTTCAGTTTAAGTACTCGAGCAAAATGCATAATTAATCAGATTTTTTGTTTGCACCTATATTCCATGATTATTGCATTATAAATCTCACCATAAAAGAAAATTCATGTAAAGGCCTCCTTTTTTCACAGTATTTTTAAGTTTTTCTCGATTTTCAGGCTACAAAGTGATTGATCTGATAAAGGCAGAACTATTTGAAAAAAATGGGTAGTTGTTTTTCAGTTTCAAATTGTTGATTTTGGTTCACGAAAAAAATGGAAAATGGGTCCAATAGTGTCAAGACAAAAAGAGTGGTTCAGGTTTTAACGCAAGGCCTTGATTATAATTTTGGCTACCACTTTAGAAAGTTACCAATCGGTGTATAGCACTTATAGCTATCACAGTAGGCCATAGCATATTGTTGCTGTGTATAATTTGCCCAATAGTAGTCCCTATTAGTAAGTTCTTTATAATTGCACTTGAAATTTCCACTGGGGTATCACAATACTCAACATGACACACTCACTAAAACTCTTTAATCTTACAATGTATATATGATGTTCATCTGACATCATTGCAGAGCTGGCAGCCATGTTGGTGTCCCTATTTGCATATGTGAAATCCAAGCTTCTACACCTCAAGCATCCTTGACACAGAAATACTTCTGATCCTCTCGATCGACTACCATTGAAGAGAATTCAAATTAAAAAAGAATGCTTAAAAACTGATGAAAAACAACAAAGTTGTGTTAGACTTATTGAAAATCAAACAGGGACACCGGCATGGCAGTCAGCACCTGTCTGCTTCTATGATATGGAAAGTGAGTGAACACACTCTATAAGGTTCATGCAGACTCCAGACTATTCCATTAAATTTCAGGAAGGGGGTAGTCAAGAACATTCCATTTCATTACATTCTTCCTTTTCATATTCTTTTCCAACATTCCTCTTAACTTTCTTACTGGGATATTAAAAATATACACCACTGATTGCAGCAAAAAATTTTTTTATCTTTTCGTCAATGCTTGAATTTTACACCATTCTGCTATAAATTTTGATTAATAATACTTCGTTCAACACAACAAGCAATGGAGATTTTGCAATCCAAGGCCAAACTTTCCTTTGAAAATTTATGTTAAGCAATTTTGGAGACAAAAATGTAGTCAATTTAGGGTCTCTAAATTTGAAAATGTTACAACTTCAAGGTGTTAAAATGGATACGAAATACAGGTGCATAGAAGTGGTCAAAATGACAAAATAAGCTACAGAAAAGGTAGACCTAAAACTGGCTTTTTGTTCTGCGCTCTTTTTTCAAGAAGACCTTAAAGTCCATGGTAGAGACCTCTTGTCTAGGACTTGCTAAAGTACAGATCTCGATTCAATTGCATTTCAATCAAGAAATGCACAACTGTTTATTAAATTATGCACGACTTTTGATCCTAATTTGCATGCATGTAGCTGGAAACTTATTTGAGATCTGTACTATGTATAACTCAAGTATAGCAGCTTTGTCTTTGAGAAGAAAAGGATGAAAATGCAAATTATAAACTTGGAGATACCAGATTTGCATGAATATTTCTCACCATCTCGTATCCCAAAATACCATATTAAATACTACTGTAGCAATTTATTACTTTATGATAACCCCCCTGCAAAACTACGCAATGGTCCCAAAAAGGCATTTAGGTGAAAATTACCAAATTGAACGTTCTACTTAATTCTAACAAGAATTAGATATTAATGGTATTGGTCCCTATAAAATATAATACTTGCCATTTGTCCCCACTCCTGAAATGTTAACCTTTCCACAAAAAAGGCATTTCAGAATTTCTGATTATTTTGATATGCCAGACCAGCAACCTTTTTGTGGAATACCACAATCCATTAATTTTGAAATTCTAATAGAAGTATCAATCATTACTGGGAGATAAGTACATGTATAAACCTTGGGTTATCATAATTATAATTTACAAACATCTGGGCAAAGAAATCTGTTTCCAAGTTCTCCCTACAAAATTCTTTGGACTTAATGTAAAATTTGTCTTTGCTAAAATATACAGCTAAAAGCAGCCCTTTTACAAAGGAGAATTTGGTCTATACAACATTCGCTCAGAAAATAAAGTTGAATCTAAACACCCCTAATTCTACATCCAGCAACCCAAATTGTAGGCAACAAGTGGTGGAAAGATCACAGGAAGTTGGAACATGCCATTGTGAAGTGGGGGTGGTCAGGCTTACATGGCCATGACTTGGTTGAACTCCCATTTCTGCGTTTTTGACGCCTCGTCGCAGTCTGACATGAAGACTTGGTGTAGAATCTCCGAACGGTCAAGGCACTTCCCGATTTTGTGACGCAGCATTTTATTCTCCTGAGTCAGAAAACATATTATGTTACATTTAATTTATTTGAGTTTAATTTTCAGCTATACTGATTTTAGTTTACATTAATTCTGTTATGTTACTTGTACATGTATAATTTTCTTTTTACACATTCAAATTGTAGTATGCTATGTTTTATCATTATATGTATTATATTATGTAACATTTTTGCGTTGTGTCGCTTTTTTGGTGACTCAGCGCAGCACGAGAATACATGTAAGCTGCGCCAGGCCTGTTGTATTATTAGGAGGCTCCTAAAAAGTGTGTAAACAAACAGCAGTTTTCGTTTGAGTATCTTCCGCAGCTTCAACAAGTTTTTGCGGTACACCAACGTTGATCGTATACTCCCCAAATGTCATTATGAATGCAGGTAGGCTTATACCGCAAGAAAATGTGTAAAACAACAATGTTTAAAATCTTTTTAATAATAGTAAATTTATAAACATCACTTCAAATAAAAAGTTTGATATTCTCACCCTACATGTATGTACAACTTACCTCGTCAAACTCCCACCCCCTGTACTTGGTATGACCCGTGTCGCAGTGGTCCAGTTTGACCTGCGTGCCGACCACGTGGATACACTGGTCATACTGCGCCATCTCGTTAGCCTCGTTCAGACGGAACATCTGGTTCCCGCCCATCCCATGACAGCCCCCGATCCCCATCTCACCACCATCCTTGTGTCCCATACTGTCCAGACACAGACCGGAGTCTATCCCTCGGATCTAAAAAAAATGAAACAGAAGAGTGAAAAATACAGTACTGCTGTAACAGTGGGGCGTGTGGACTGGTGCCTGGGTTTGGTCGTGGGTTCGAACCCCGGCCCAGGACCAGGAGTGTCTTTCTGTTTCTACTCTCCAAATTCTTACAGTGTTTCCCATGCCAGCCCTACAAATGTAGGAGTACTGGCTGAGTGCCGCTCCAGGGATGTCGACTTTGGAAAATTTGATCGATCTTGGGAAGGAGGGGGAGTAGTATAGCAGTGGGGAATTTATAGGTACTACCAACTGAGTAAGCATACACTTACTGTACTGTTAGTACATCATACATGTACATGTATGATGTACTATGAAGAAAGCAAATATTCATCAAAAGCCATCCTTGTTCAGATACAGATCAGAGTCTATCTCTCGTGATATGTACTTGTTTACATATCTATGAAAATTTACCACATTTGTGGAAGGATTGACAATAACAGGTGTCTATCACATCTTCAAGATGTGAAGCCTGAGACCAGGCAGTGAAGTTTGCACCTGGATTCACACCAGGAAGAACCCCTGTTCTTTCCGATGACCCTAACTGCAAGACCACCTTGCAATGCTAAAAATATAATTATGCAAGACGTACATGTAGTATAATTATGGTAGAAATCATGGGGGTAAAAAATGCAGACCTCTCCCCAGATCTTGTTCTTCGGAGGCAGTGGGAAGTGATCGACGATGTCATAGGCGATTTCTTCCATGAACCACTTGAAGCTTTTGCAGTGGTTTCTCTCTCTGTGTTGGAATAAAAACAGTCAAGTCATTTATGGAACGTGTGATTGTCAATTGCAAATTTCTCAATAAGTAAGAAAATAAACTGTTTTCAACATAAGCAGCTTGAAAGCTGCATTATGTAACATTAGGATGATACAAAAACTTTTTACTCAATTTTCAATTATGAAAACTTGAATCAGTCATTTTGCATTCAAGAAGTTTGGACTAAACACTGTAATACTAATAGGTAACTTGTAATAGGGTCTAATATCAAAAGTTAATTACTTATTGGACTGGGTCAGTTAGTGGCTGTTACTAGTCACTACTCCCCCTTTTCTTTACATTTTATAAAAGTATTAATACAGACCTGAAGGCCACTAGTTCTGAGATGTCACCAAACGGATGGTTGCGGATTTCTGGACGGCTTGCATAGAAGTACTCCTTATACTCATCCCACCATACCTCCACTACACGCATGTAATTCTAGTGGGGAAACAGGCAAAAGTTACTACACTGTAACAGTATACAGCAGTTACATGTATCAGTTAGCAACAGGCAAAGTTAATAACAGTACTGTTACAGTTACTACACTGTACTACACTGAAACAGGCAAACTTACTACACTGTAACAGTATACAGCAGTTTCATGTATCAGTTGACTCATGTGTTTTTAATCTTAAGCTTGTACAGTGCAAAAGGCAAAGCAGAAGATCTAAAGAGACAGTGACTTAGAACCTAAGATGCTATCCTGTGGTTCAAGACAATGTATAGCCAATCTTGTAACCAAACAACTTTTCAGAAATAAGCAAAACTTCTATCAAAAGTACATATAAAGTTTAGTATTTGTGAGAAGGAAAAAAGAAATTTTATATAGTATTACTTACCTTGCAAGCAAAGCAATAATCTCTACATGGTAAATAAAACTAGGGGGGTAATAATCCAGTAACCTTAATCTTTATTGCCTAAGTAGCATCAAGTATAATCTACGTGTAATTCAATCATATAACACTGGTCAGTTCAAATTGGAAAAAAACAGAAGCAATTGGGAAACCTCAGAAATATCAAATTTCTGCCTATCAGTGTGGTATCATCTGAAAGCTCTTTTCATCACGAAAGTAGTCATGTAAAAATTATTAGCTAGTGATGTTCATAGGCTTAGATATGACTGATTGAAAATGCATTAGACCACTGGTCTGTGGGAAAACCATGTATGGGCTATAATTTAGGCCAGGTGGGCTGTATAAACAACAAGGTGTTGATTGGCCCAGACCATTGTGGTCTTGGCCCTGGCCAGACTGGACTTCACACCTCTAATCACCTGACCCATTGAACCCAGCGCAGGCCAGTGGTCTGACAAGCAAGGTGTGATAACTCATTATGTGAGTGCTTTGTTCAGTGTGGAATGGCCAATTATAACTCATTTGCATTGGAGTGGGCTACTGCTAGGCCACTGTGTTCTATGCATAACCAAGTGTGGTCTGTGTGTTGTTCACATGGTCCAGCCAATAGACCACTGGCCTGGGCAACTTTCAAAACGGAATATCTTCATAATGTTACACGTTATGACCAAATTAAAGACATCATGATGCAGGGGAAATCATGCTCTTTCCAATGACAATATAAATAAAAGTGTACTGTATCTTCAGTAGAAATAAAGTTAGAAAATTGGATGACCAAGATGGCCGCCTTGAAATCGGGAAACTGAACTTCCCAATTTAAACTGACCAGTGTTATATTATATAACTGCTCCTCCATAACCAAGGCTAGCTATAGCTACCCAATTTACAACTTGATGAGTGAAGTGAGGAAAGTTGTGTAAAGTGCCTTTCCCAAGGGCACAACGTCTGGGCATGTAGGTGAAATCAAACCCAGGACCCATGGGTTCCAGGCCAAATGCTCTGCCATTATGCCACGCGACACCACACGTAACACCACAGAAAACCTTGTTAATCTCTATTTTCACTCTACAAAGTCATACACCATCTATAATTAATTTCTATCAGGCACAAACCTGTAGCACCACGGACAACCCAGAGTTGGCGGGTGGAGGGTTACCGGCCCAGCCCTCTAGGCGGTAAATATGTCCGATTCGCGAACACGGCGTGAACAAAACCTCGCCCCCGCACTGCCAAATCTACGGATAAAATACGGCGAGGACACTTTACAGTTTGGGTGTTAAAACTGGGTTTAGAGGAAAAATGCAGCAGCTTTTTATGGATTTTGTGATGTACTGTTGTTGTGAAGTCGTGTGACATGTATTTTGTGAGTGTTTTGCAGTGTGGGTTGTGTTTTTGAGTAAATGTTGCCATTTTTTGTATGTTTTGATTGATGATGTGTGAAAATATTCCTTAGTAAATAGGGAAAAATTGTTGGACATGTATGAATATCAAAAGGCCTACACCGTAGACCCAGTGGTGATTGGGGATCAGGGAATGATAGTTTAAAGAAAGGAAAGAATAAAAAGGCGCCTTCAAGACAAGAAAACCTTTGGGCTTTCCTTTCGAAACCTAAAATCGTGGGTTGTACCACTCTAACCACAGGGGCGTTCTTTGCTATAGTCTGGGCCTGACCAACCTGTAAAACTATAGAAAAGCCCGAGTGTTCGGGAGGGGGGTTTCCTGCCCACCCCTCCAGTCGGTAAATGTGTCCAACCCGACTGCAAGGAACCGACAAGACCTGGCCTCCGCACTGCCACACCTAAAATGTAAGATCCAGATAATCAACACAAAACCTTCCTCCATTCATGAATTTCACACTTCCCATAATGCCTAGTGCTAGGTACGGCGCCATGACAGTTCTCAGTGCATCATGGGTAAGTCACTTTCAAAGAAACTACAACCTTATGCTAAAATTCAAGTGGTCACATATGTAGGCAAGTTGTTTACAAGCCTATGTAGGTCACAGTATCCAAAATGATGAATATCCAGTTGAATTTTAGTGTTGTGGTTGCTTCGAAAGTGATTTACCCATGATGCACTGAGAACTGTCATGGCGCCGTACCCAGCACTAGGCATTATGGGAAGTGTGAAAATCGTGAATTCCGTAGAACTTGGGATATACCACTTTTTAGACCCGGGGGTGTTCGAGGACTGACCAACCTGCATGAACACAAACCCCCCCTCTTTGGGAGGGGGGTTGCCACCCCACCCATGCATCCGGTAAATGTGTCCAACGCGACTGCACGGCACGTTCAGCACCTGTCCTCCACACATCCACACCTATAAAATTCATGTAAAGCCACACCAAGTTAATTTGTTGGTTCTCGGATTTCCCTCTTCATTTTTTTCTGATTTGCAAAATAAAAAAAATTCTGGTTCTGAATCAACTCAAATACATGTGTATGCTCATATTTTGTCCCCAACAGTTAAGGAAAGTCCTTTTCTTCCTAGTTGTTACAGTTTTTCCATCTATCAATGCAGTGGTTTGATTAAAAGTTCAAAATTCATTGTTTGAATATCAACCCAGCCTTTTGTGTTGACTTTGTGGCTGCTATCATAGCATTTTGGGCTATCATAGGATGCCTAGACCTGTTTTTCTTTTTCTTTTTTTTTTCCTGTCGCTTTATATTTTTTCTGAAAAAATCTGAGAACCAACATATTAAATTGTTGTGGCCTAAGATCCACACTTTTCATATACAGTACGTATATGAAAAGTGTTATACAGGCTTTAATAAGGTTTTGGCCGAGACTTCTTGTGGATTCTGGTTTCTTCTTCAACCTGACATTGTTAAGGACAGACCCAATGACAACATGCATGGACAATGCACAAGATCTAGAAGATGAGGAATAGTACAAAGCTTAATTTTCAACAAGCATCATGAACCATACATGTAAGCATGCAATGGAGGCAAAGCATACCAGGACTTCTGACAATATACTGGGCTACATATATGACACAAAAGTAGAAATTTAACAATTGCAAAACAATGTCTGCCTTCTCTGAAATAACCTCTTATAGACAAAGCTCCACACATGCAATCTGACAAGGACACAAAACATGCAACATGAATACAAACACGATGGAAGCTAAATTCATAACCAACTTAGAATTCGAAAGAAAGCAAACATAAATGCAGGCAGGCAAACATGTAGTACGTCACAGAAATTTCCTTTCCAAAAAAAAGGACAAAGCAGACAAGAGTCCTCTTTGTTGCACCAGGTAGACACTCATCCAGTCCTCACTGTCTTTCTAATTGCTGACAAACTTAAGTCTTATTAATTTGCTAACTAAGTTAAACTTGTTATACAGCCAAGTATGCCTATAACTAGCCTGTGAGTGTGAGACTACAATGTACATGTACTTGAAGACAACATGAAACCAGCACCATCTTTGGTTTGAGATCCTCTCAAAAGGATGGGGTTGCAGCATATTAAGATACCTGAAGTCTACTGTATTCAAAAATTCTGTTATGTTTCTTCCATCATTTTAAGATCAAAGGTTACTTTGTCAGATATGTTCAGGTACATATCAAGTCATGAGCAGTCTGTACCTAAACCTCAGAGTCTGTACAAGTACCTGTACCTGATGTTATGCTTAGGTACAAAGCACTATGTCAGGGCAAGTCTTTATCTCTGTTCATGACCAGGTGTGGATTTTCTGATCCAGATTGCCTCTTTGATCTGACATAATGATTCTGATCTGACTTTGAGATCTAGAATCCACTGTAGATTCCTAGTATCCATAACCATAATCACTCTTCTTCTGCTTCCGCTTTTGCACTAATCAGAACTATCAAAATAACGATTTGTCATGATTGAAGCTTAAAACATGTTAATGCGGACTGTCCTGGAATCATGCAGGCACCTAGAGGTATAATTCAACGGCTCTACATGTGGTTTAGTGCTACCCTGGGTGCCAGGCTCTTTAGAATCCAGATATCTTTAATAACTTAAAGATGTTTCAGAGGGTGGAGCTGGATGTTGGGGAAGGCCTGAAAGTGAAGGAAATTTAAAGATTTCTGGCTGTGGCCCCCAGGGTACATTATTGGTTAGTGTCTACAGCACTGGCCATGGGTCAGGAGCAATCATGCTCTCCCTCCCGCCATTCTACAGAACACCCCTTCAAGTAGACTGGTCCAAACTTTGTACAGTCTTGTAATTATTGCAAAAATTGTGCATAAAAAGATGCTGATTACAGCAAGATTCTTTTTGATGCATTTATTTTACTTCATCTGTAATTCTTTTGAATTTACTGGAGTCAGAAAATTGGGATGCAGACAACTGGGTTCAAAGTCTAGATCTTCTGTTGCTTTTAATGAGGCCATGATAGGGGTTTTCAAGAAATCTGATCCAGTTAAATACAGTATTAATGTTCTCATCAAACCCCTATGCCAGACTCCACAGTCAAGAATTTGAAATGTTTAACTTCAAAACATCTCTCTACCTATAGTAAATAGTTTGGTCCAAAATCAACAAAACCTTTGAACTGTTTGCTTTAGCACAAAACCTTGGGTTGTACCACTCTCAACACAGGGGTGTTCTGTCCCGTTCTGGGCCTGACCAACCTGTAGAACCACAGAGGACCCTGAGTGCTGGGGAGGGGGGTTTCCTGCCCACCCCTTTAGCCGGTAAATGTGTCCGACCCGGCTGCACGGGGTAAACAACACCTCGCCGCCGCACTGCCACACCTAAAATATAACATCCAAACAATCAACAACAACAACAAAACAACAACATTGGACTCTACCATTCTCAACACAGGGGTGTGGGGTAGGTCAGACCAACCTGCATGAATATATTCTCCCCGGGTTTTTTTGGAGTGGGGTTGCCGTTCCACCCCTTTAGTCGGTAAATGTGGCCCACCCGACTGCAAGGTGTGAACAACAGCTGACCACCGCACTGCCACACCTACATGTACATGCATTACAGGTGTGGGAACACTTTAAACTCTAACATCAACCAAAAACACATCTCTTGATGACAACTTACTTTCTCAGCATAAGTTGTGCTTAAAGAATTTTTTTCTCAAATAATAATTATGAAACATAATTTAATATTCCATTTTCATAAAATATCAAATAGTATCCAGTTGCTGTATAGGCAAGGTGGTAAGAAATCTATTTGGATTTTTAACTTGACATATTGCTTTGACGAAGTCTCTTTGAAAGTTTCTTTAGACTTACATTTGGAGTAAAGGTCAAACAAGTCATACAAGAAGACAGAAAAAAACTGCAATGCTGAAAAGCCATATAGATTCTTCCTTGTGAGGATCATAAAAAGTTTTTGTTCTTAACCCTTCGAGCTTTAAAGCAGAACAAAACTTGACATAACTGGGGTTAAACTTACAGGACATTTTGTAAAACTTGAATTAAAGATTATGTATGAATGTTAAATTAACTCAGCAAGCATGACATTGTACAAATGTACATTGTAAGTACACAAACTTGCTTGCCTAACTAGCTAGAAGCACACGTCCCATGTAAAAGCAACATTAACCAAAATTTAGAAGCAACACAGCCTAAAGCATGCCTTGCAAACAACCAGACAACTTTACACAACACAAAATACAACTGTGTACAACTTGAGGACAAACACTTTGACAATATTAAAAAGAACAGGAAAGGGACAGACAATTTGTAATGTGAAAATAATGATGTGAATGTTGTGTTGGGGTTACATGTAAATGTTTGAATGTGTTAGTAACTTGTTGTAAGTTGTTATGTGTGAACTGTAATGCTGCTGCAAAATGATTTTTTTCAATTTATCAAAAATATTAGAACATGATAATATAGTACGGTTATTATATTACTTGTGACGTATACAATGCATTATTATACTAAACAATGTTGCAAAACGAATTCAAAAGCTGATATTGGACAATACATATCAAAATGTAATACTAAGAATGCCTTGAAATTTTACAAATTAATCCACAATTAAAATAATTAGCAGAATCACATCAAATACGATCACAATTTTTACAATAAAAAGCTGTTAGTCCAAAATAAGTAACAATTTGAAAATTGTCAAATGTACAACTATTCAGAACACTTAATGTCTTCTCTCAAAATGCTGTGTTCAAAGATTAAGATAATTTCTTGAGATCATCTTTAAGACATGAGACGTACCTTGTACGAGATCTCAAAGTTCTCCCCTCCCCAGATCTTGAGCCCGGGGTCGTACAGACCCAGCTCGAAGAAGTACTCTCTGTCTATGGCAAACAGACCACCAGCCATGGCAGGCGACCTGGGATAAAGGAAACCATGGACAATGTTTTAGGTGGTTTGTTTGGGGTACCATAGCTTTTTTCTTTTATTTGTTGCTGCTTATATATGTCGGTTTGTCAACTCACTCATTCACTCCATCCTTTGTTTAATCACAAACTCATACAATACTCATTTATCCATTCATTTATTTACTCACTTACTCACTCATTAATTCAATCACTCTCTCATCCATCCATCCATTCATTCCTTCATTCATTCATTCAAAATACCTGTCAGTCAGTTAGTCAGTCATTTGTCAGTATTATTTCAGTATGTCTGTAACAGTTCAACAGTTCATAGTCTTTATGTCAGTTCTTGTCTATGCCTGTCACCTGAAACAAATAACTCAAACATTACAATTGAATTCAAACAATGCATGTACTACATGTACAACACTGATTATAATAGACTATGAAGAAATAGGTCAAAACTCTACATATTAAGCAATGGTAGCATATTTTATCCCTTCTACATGTATTTTATTTCACTCTGAAGAATTTGTTTCAAGTTACATGTATACCTGGTAGTGTTGGGGACTCTCCCTCACCTTACCTCACCCCTAGGGACACATCCCCACCCCTGGGGCACATACCTGTAAGGCTCAGAGTGATATTTATGCCTGGCCCTCTCCCTGGGTGTGTTGGGGACCCTCTTCCACAGCAGGCTCCAGTCCCAGGCACCGCGGGCGTGTCCGTACTCGTCCCCTCCCCCCTGGCCGTAGATGTTGTAGTTGTTGCCATCAATCACGTCAATCAAAGGCACGGTGCAGGTGGTTCTGGGAAGGAGCGACAATTTAGCGACAATTTTGGAAGAACAAACAAACAAGCATGCCAAGCAAACAAACAAATGTTGAAATACGTCGGTGAAGGTAAGACATGCCAAAAAACAGTTACTCAAGCTGGGTAATATTATTTTGGAAACGGTCAGACGTTTCAGGTAGCATCCAGTGAGGATTACAACCTTTCGTAAGTGACACTGTAGAGTTGTCAGAAAAGCAGGCACGAACTTTTGATTGATATGCAAATAAATGGTGAAGGTCTAGGTGTTGGGCCACACTGCAACACAATATGTAGAAAAAAAATTGAAAAATCTAGCCTGGTTACCAAACCTTTTTGGATGCTGAGTATCTTTCTTCCTCTTTGTAATAGCTATTGTAGAGAGGACGAAAGAGACTCGGCAGCTAAAAAAGGTTTGGTAACCTGGCTAAGAAAGTCAAACTACATCCTTCGTCTTCTTTTATTTTGAGGCAGCCGCCTTCAACTACCTGAAGATTCTGCTGCCTATTTTTTTTGTGTGGATAATATGATATGGGGTTTGCCAGGCCTCCATCCAGGAAAGTTGTGTGAAATGCCTTTCCCAAGGGCACAAGATCAGTGACATGGCAGGGTTCGAACCCAGGAACTATCGGTTCAGAGGCAAATGTTCTGCCGTTATACCACACAACCCTACGAATCCTTCTCTTACCTGTTAACGGCTATAGGAGAGATCAGTGCTGGTGCCCAGTTGATGCCCACTTCACAGTGGGAGTCCAGGTAGACTAGAATCTTGCCTCTTGTGGCCGACCGTGCTCCGATGCTTCGTGCCTGGATCAGTCCCTCCCTCTGCTTGTTCCTGACCAGCTTCACCAGGCCTTTGAACTGGACTAGATAGTCATCCAGGCGCTGCTTCCAGTGTTCTGAAACAACATCAACATGGAAGCAATAAATTAAATTCATTAATTTTTGAGGGGAATTTATTTTGAAGTAAAAGGCAAAAGGAGGTTTTTGAAATGTTTTAATTTTAGAGTAAAAAAATAGGTTCACAGCTCCAATTTTTGTGCAAATGCACCCAGTATTTTTTATTAACCTTTAGCACACTGAAGTAGCCATTTGGCTAAAAATTCTCTATTGGTTACAGGGTCAGGTAGCATAATTATACAGATACAGAAGCTGGTGTGTTACGCCGAAGGGCGGTTATACCGGTTGTACAGATACAGAAGCTGGTGTGTTACACCGAAGGGCGCGCGGTTATACCAGCTATGCAGATACAGAAGCTGGTGTGTTACGCCGAAGGGCGGTTATACCGGCTATATATATACTGAGAAGCTGGTGTGTTACGCCAAAGTACCGTTATGACAGCTATACAGATACAGAGGGGAGAAGGTTAATGATATAATTCTGCACCTTTTGTGCTGAAGTCGTCCACTAGTACAATCTCAGCCAGCAGTTCAGGTGGGGTTCTCTTGATGACGCTGTGCACAGTTCTCATCACCACTGACCACGCCTCGTTATAGAACACGATGATGACACTGATGTTGGGCAGACTGGTGTCGTAGTGCCAGTACTTACACCTGACATAGAGAAATCATATATGTCATCAAACCTTATTTTCATAACATACTGCAAAATGTAACCTTCTCATTGGTCAAATTGTGTCATTTGGTAATATTGAAACATGGAAAAATCATATGCGGTGACTTCAAAACTTAATTATGTTTACCTTCGCAGAAGGAAAACATATTGTTTTTGCTCTTTCTTTTTCCTCTTCTTCTTCTCCAAACAAGTAAGGTCAATGACTTGAACCAGATGTCTGTCACCGTGGTAACTGGTTTTGGGTTACATCATGTTGCAATTTTATAGCAGGAGGGATTTTGACTCTTGTGACCATATGCATTTGCTTTCTAGTTTCATAACATACATCTACAAAATGGAGCCTTCTCATTGGTCAATGTGTTATCTGGCTATATGATAAATAGTCTAAAATGTAGTATAACTTACTCTGGATCTCTTATGTCTTTGATGGTTCTGTCCAGTGAGATTTTGTCGCTGGCCACAATGTTGAAGCCGAACTCCTTGATACTCTTGTCAATCTCCTCTTTATACTCTGGACCTACAGATGGAAGGAAAAAACACACAAATAAAGGATGTCAAGACATGAACTTACGAGATTTTCACTGAAAATTTAAAGAACAATATGTCTTGTTGTGTGACTTTCATGGCTTTGGCTAAGAGGTCAAAAGAAAAACATGTTTTCAGGGCTAGAAATACCACACACACACTTGCTTGGACCACCAAGACAGTAGTCTTCCAAAGCCTTTCCCTAGGTCACAACACTGGGGCCTGCCAGGGATTTGAACCCAGAACCTTCAGATTCTGAGTCAACAACCCTTAGACCAACTACTGTAGCCACCGATGCAATCAAACTAGTGGCCTTATACATAGCAATAACAGATCTAGATGGGGTTGTGTGACTTAACGGCAGAGTGCTCAACTCGGAACCAAGAGGCCCAGGGTTCGAGTCCTGACATGCCACCGATCTTGTACCCTTGGGAAAGGCATTTTACACGACTTTCCTCACTTAAGTCAAAATGACTATTGTCTGTCCCGTATTTGTTCTATGTGTGGGACACAACACCAGCAACAGCTGCCTTTGTTCTACATGTACATGTATTGTATTGTTACAATCTCAATAAATTAAATCAAATCAAATCAAATACGCACATCTACATTGTAGGATACAGACCGAGTTTAAATGGTACAGATCCCTCTCCGGGTGCATCTGATATTTTCTCCGGCTCTGGTTCCCAGTTCCCCAGTTCGCCAGGTTTCATGACGGCAGGACGGTACTTCACGTTACCTCCGCTATTTCTCATGTTCTCCATGATTTCAGGACCTGAAGCAAGAAAACATGTTAGTAATATTTACACAGCCCAGAAAACCCAAGAGGTGGAAAGACCAGACACAGACACATGGCTCACCCTAACTTAAGGGAAGCTGAGACTGTGGCTCTGGATAGAGCTTGCTGGAAAAACCAGATGTGGGGGAACAAGGGGCCAGATCCTGGCCTGAGCACATACATTGTAGGCAGGCAGGGAAAACCTTTCATTGCTTAGGTTTCTTGTAAATTCAATTCAAAAACAATTGGACAAAATTGTATGTCATAGATCAAATGCTTATTACGGCTGCTACACATGTATACATAATACCTGTACCTGCATCACCGTAGTACAGATGTAGGTACAGGTACAGTCGCACTTAAGTTATTAAAGGAGTATAAATCCCTCCTACTATAAAATTGCAACATTATGTAACCCAACACCAGTTACCATGGCGAGTCAACAAATCAGGTCATTGGCCAGGTCAGAGGTTAGTGTTTGGAACAGAAGAAGAAGAAGAAACGTAGCAAAATCAGTATGTTTTCCTTCGATTTTTTTAACCTTCGATAAACATAATTAAAGTACAAATCTGATCATGAGGATCTCACCTCTTCTAGGAGCTCCGACTTGCGGCTGTTTGACGTCCTCGTCCTCGTGCCGGATGTCTTCCTTCTTCCTGCCCTCCCTCACGGCCTTCAGGTCCACCTCCAGCCCGTCCACGTGCGGGATTCCCGCGCCCTTCACGTGCTCGTGGCGCGGGTGTTCCTCATCCTCATCCTCCTCCCCGATGAAGTTAGGAACCTGTCATTGTGAGAACAGGGCATTGTCATTAGATAGCTTTAAACAATGTCTAGAGTTAGATGTTCAAGGGTTAGGTGTAACACGTGGATCGGTGTAATGTAGCCAGCTGCTGCTGCGCCGCGTGCCTGCGGAGATTGTACATGTGTGTTACACCGAAAGGGTGTTATACCAGCTATACAGAAACAGATACAGAAAATGGCCACTGACCACTAAAATTTAGGCCTGGACAACTAAAAGGACACTTTGGGCCATTTTTGGGACAACAGAACAATAATCAACATCAGAATGTCAGCCCTTCTTTTGTTTATTAGGCACACGTCCTAGCTTTTGGATCCAGAAAAGTCCCCCCGAATTTACTGTCTGCAATTATAGTGTGTCAAATGTATACCCTGGGAGTCAGAACGTAAGCAAAATAAAGTTGACTTCAATAAAGTTGACTTCAATTCTTCCCGAAAAACAGTTTGGGACAGTTCATCCTCACTTCGGGACAACTGAAATTTATTTTTGGGACAGTGCTGGGACAATAGGAAGAAAAGTTAATTTTGAGGCCTGGAGAACCATGAAAGACTTACAAAATGGAGAGTAAGCATTGTGAATGTGCAATTGTATTGTAACATCTGTGTCCATAATATCACCATAGTCCATAATATCGCCACCTTGAGAAAAAGTGTGCTTAAAGATATTTTTACTGCAACATACCCTATGCTAGGTATGTACATTTGATGTGTGAAGGAGTGCATACCAAAAGTATGTTGCAGTAAAAATATCTTTAAGCACACTGTTTCTCAAGGTGGCGATATTATGGACCCTGGTGACATTATGGACACAGATGTTACATGTAAGCTGATGTGTATTGTATTTTCTGCAAAGTTGGTTTTAAATGAAAATTTGATTTGAACCTTTAGCTGAGGAATCTGATTGTCCTTTTCCCTGTTTGGGACGAAGAGTTTGTCCTCCTGAAACTGTTTCTCCCACTCCTGTCTTCTCTCCTGCCATGGAGGGTGGTTTCTTCTGTTCTCACTGCCTTTTGTTTCCTACAAATGGATAATAAAAACAAGTTACGAGCCTTGTTTTGAGGTGAATCTGAAGTAAGGCCATGTTGATTTGATTATATGGATGACATCCTCTGGGGACCCCAAAACTGATGCGAGCGTGCGAATAAAAAAAAAGTTTTGCAAAAAAAAAAGTTGCTTTCATCATGAAATCTACGTGGTCATGAAGGTTGAACACATGACACAGAGTATGGTATGGCGAATAATCTACACTCCAAATTCCTTTCTTCACATTTTCGTCATTTTCATTTAATTTTGGCATTCTACGACAATGGTATCATTTTGAAATATTTTTTTTGTACCTTACGGTATATATTTGCTCATTTTGATGTATGATTTACAGTATGATTGAAAACTTTTTTTTTTTTGGAAACGGCCGAAAATTCATGCGCGCGCGGATGTCATCCATATAATCAAATCAACATGGCCTAAATTAAAAAAAAAGGGTCAGACATCTTGGTACAGGGCTCGAAATTCATTTTTGTGAATAGGTACACTAGTGCACCCAACCTAAAAGATTAGGTGCACAAAATATAGATAAAATGTAGATATTACTGGTCCTCTTCTGAGCTTGAATCTGAAATGGGAGCTAACTTCAAAATCTTAAACAAGTACTACAACAAATTGCTTTTCTGACAGTTAGAACTTAGATGCCAAGAATATCCTGTATACATTGTACTATTATACATTTGATATGTACAAAAATACCTACAAATATATTTGAGTGCACCAGTGCACCCACAGAAAAACATTGGGTGCACTAAGGTGCACATGCACCCTGTCTTTCGAGCCCTATACCGGTGCACCTAACAATTTGTTTGTGCACCTAATTTTTTTAGGTTGGATGCACTTAATTTTCTCTCTATATATATAGGTTGGGTAACTTGGGTTATTTGCTTGAAAATCTACCAACGATATCTGTCTGTTTCCCAATACTAAAGCCTACCAGAGCAGGATATACAAACCATGCTTCCTTCTTAACCACAGCTGTTACAACAAGTTCTTTTGTACATGATTCAATCAATAATATTCAGTAGGCATGAAAACCACTGACATCCCAACACAAGGTCTAGAAATACTGTGAGTCATGTAAGTCCTTACACTACCAGCTGCCACTGTATACTTACTAGTAGTAGATTTGAGTAGTATACAAAACAATTGTGTAGCTTAGAGCACCTACTAGGTAACAGTGGGGGGGGGGTATAGGTGCTACCAACTGATCCTTTTAGCCGAATTGTTTTTTTTTTTTTTTTAATCTTTCTTTATTGAATTTTCCAAAATAAATTAACGGTTACAGAATATGGCATGGCATTGTGCAAAAAGGAATACATGGTGAACCACAAAAACAAAACGTAAGATCCAGGTACAATAGTGTAGTGCAAATTTTACAGATACACCCTGTTGCCCCTAATTACATGGTTTAAAATTACACATGGGATTTTTTTTAAACTCTTTTAAATATTTATTTAACAACATTTTATCTATTCTGAAAAAATTGTATTTAATTTTCCCCATTTCCCCCTATGTTTTAATAGTTTGTGTTGCCTATACGCAATGTTTAATTCTAGTCTATAAAAGTAAGAAACATAAGATATAAATGCAGATAAACTTAAGGAATACTTACGATTTTTAAAAATAAACATTTTACCTAGGAGTACTATAACATTGGAGAGAACCGGGCATCGATCAGTCAGGTTACCAAAAATTATATTGATTGCGTTGATTTGTAAATGAGTACCAGTGATGTTGAAGAACCATTTGTCCACCTGACTCCAAAAATCTGCAGATATTCGACAATTCCAAAATAGGTGGACGACTGATTCTTCTTCTTCTTTACATAGACTGCAAATTGGTGAGTCTATTAACCCCCATAAAAATAATGTTTTATTACAAGTTAAAAATTTAAACAGCAGTTTGTATTGAAACATACGAGTGTTTGAGTCAATAGAAAGTTTATACGGCAAACTATACACTTTGTGCCAAGGTAAAGGGGTATCGAAATATTCCTCCCACGAAAATTTAATTTTATCAGACGAGTCCCATAAACTGGCTTCGTTCATAAAAAATGAATACAGATCTTTATTAATATTTCCCTTACGTAGCCAGCTTATGTTTCTGCAGACTGGAAGACAAACACCCAGGTTTGGAGATGTCTGTTTTAACGTGGTTTTCCAACAAGAAGGAATTGCAGAAATAAGTTGATTGTACTTAAATTCGGTACAGGCTTCCCCAAATTTTTGAGTCAGATCATCAAATGATAAAAACCTATTTTGTAAGTCTAGAATGTCATTTACAAACACTACTCCTCTACTAAACATTACCTGAGAAAAGAATGGTTTTCCATCGATTGTAATATTTGAATTTAAACACAGAAGTTGTTGTTTTATTTCTACTGCTCCCTCTGGCGGCCGGAGCTGGAACTTTAACCACGCCTGTATTACATGCATGAAAAAGGAACTAAGAGGTGACTTTTTCCCCATTAAAGAGTTAAAATCCACATACTTTAGTTGGGAAAAAGGAAATACATTCGTACGAAAAATAGAACTAGATAAAAATATTAATTTAGAGCAAAACCATTTTTTATTTAGATACAATTTTGGCAGCCAAGAACCTTTAAGTGTCAAATCCACAGCCTGCAAATTCCTAAGTTTTAGCCCCCCCTGTTCATAAGTAGCATACAATGTTTTCCTTTTCACCCGCTCCGGTCCCTCCCCCCATAGAAATTTAAATATCTTTTTTTCATATAAGTCAAAAAACGTAGAGGGGGGAGACGGGAGAGAAGTTAGTAAATAGATAAATTGAGGGACAATTAATGTATTGATTAAAACGATTTTACCCATAAGAGTTAAAGACTTAGATTTCCACGGCATTAATATCTTGTCTATTCTAGCCAATTTCTTGTCAAAGTTATAATCCACTATATTAGATAACAGTTCTGGGATGTGAATTCCTAGAATATTAACAGGGCCATCCGTCCATTGTATTTGTAAGGGGCAAGGTAAGTAAAAGTTTGTTCTTTTTAGAGTACCAATTCTTAATATTTTACATTTATCAAAATGTGGGCATAGTCCTGATAATAAGGAAAAATTTTCTAGATCCGTAACTAAAGCGTATAAAGAGCCGAGTTCGGGAGCAAGTGGAAAATTCGAGTCGTCGGCATATTGCGAAATTTTAGATTCAATTCCAAAAGTATCTAAACCTTTTATTTCGATATTGCTACGAATTTTAATAGCGAGTATTTCTACCCCCAAAATAAAAAGATATGGAGAGAGGGGACATCCTTGTCGGACCCCACGGGACAGGGAAAAGGACTTAGAAATATAACCACAGTTGATAGCCGAATTGTTAGAGCGTCGGGGTTATGAGCTGGTGCCTGGGTTTGGCGTGGGTTCAATCCCCGGCCCGGGACCAGGAGTGTCTTTCTTTGAGTGTTTCTACTCTCTTAATTCTTACACTAGTACCAAAGGCCTGAATAAAAAGTAAGTTTAAATTCCTTTACTACTGTGGAGGGACATGTACCAAATATATTTGAAATATCTTTTATGGACTTTGATCAGACAACACTAAGAAACTCCTAGAATATTATAGTCTCTTTCTTGTTGACACTCACCACACTGCATGTTTGTACAACATGTTATACTTACATGTTCAATGTTAATCATTTACAACCCTGTAAATTAGCAAACATTTGCTCAATTGTCTCTTTTTCCACCATACTAATGGCCTACATGTAGTACATTTATTTCATACTAATTTTGAGGGTCATTAATAAATCATATGATATTTGCTCATTACATTTTTGGGGTGCCTAACAATAAGGTGATTGAATGAATGGCTACAATGTACTAGTATTAGCAAGTATGTATAGGCCATTTCAAGTACCTGGGATGTTAACAAATAAGGCTTATTATTTAGATACAAAAGGCTGTATTGAACCAAGATGATACATGTAGCTTGCTTATATGCATAAGTGACAGTATGAATTTCAAGAGATGGGCTAAGAATGCAACTTGCCCCTAAAGACAAGACACCATGAGATGTTTATTTTTTTTAATTTCAAGAATTTCTATTTTCTGTTACTGTCATTTGATGTAGGCAGAACTACATTTCAAAGACCCACTGTACATGTACTGCATGCCTACAAGTACAAAGCTGGCGTGTTACATCAAATAACTTAGTTATGCCACTAGATCCATACAAACACAGACATAATCCACAAAATTTACCATATTTTAATATTTTAGTCAACAAATCATTCTGAAGTACCATAAACAAAACAATCAAACAAACATCTGTGTCTATAATATCACCAGGGTCCAAAATATCGCCACCTTGAGAAATAGTGTGCTTTAAGATATTTTTACTGCGACATACTTTTGGTATCCACTCCTGCACACCTCAAATGTACATACCTAGGGTATGTTGCAGTAAAAATATCTTGAAGCACACTTTTTCTCAAGGTGGCGAATCATATTATGGACCCTGGTGATATTTAATATGGACACAGATGTTATAATCGATGCTCAAGTTTGTCAATTCAAAAACCTTAAATTCTTCAACCACTAAGCAACCCAAGCAGTTATTTACCTAAGGAATCGAAAAAGCTCCTAAGGTTTTGTTGTACGTTAAGCACCTGGAAATATTGACCTGGGCGAGTCCATGTGTGAGTACAGGGGGGACAGGTGTGTTTCCACGTCATCGCAGGTGTAAATGGGGGGGGGGCGACTTGGTAACAGGTGGCAAAGAAATTAACATTTTATAAAATATCTATATACATTCCCAGAAACTAGAATTGCCTAGAATTTTTATAAATTCCGTTTGAATGCACGAATTTGTGTAAGGGAATTTGTTTTGGTCGTAAGTTCTTGCTTGTTAGTTTGTTTGTGCTACAAGCGGAACTACGACAAAACTAGCGACCTCAATGTATATACTACACGACTGTGCTTTTTTTCTGCAGAACACACATGTTTCTAGCTGCTACGAATTGTAAGAAACAAAGTTTTAGCTTGAACTTACCACCGCATTTTCGTCCACACCACGAGAAAATATCCAGACTACGAAGAAGAACACTCCGACAACAGTCGAGGTCCTGATCACAAAACTCGGTCGTAATCTCATCTCAGAACAACTCCGAACACTGATAGCATCCTACGAACTTAAACCCTTTGATTGGGAACGGAATATATTAAAGATTTGGGGTAAAACTTGAAGAAAACGCCGGGACTTGACCACACTACCAGTGTGTGTATGTCTGTGACGGGCATGCGTATCGCGATGTGACCTATGAACCCGGATGCAGTGCCACGTGTTAAGGTAGGGGGCGTGGCTCAGTCAACAACTTGGGCAAACTTTTCAAGTATAGAGCTTCTGAAACAAACTTAGGAAATATCGATTCTGCTTAAAGCAGGTGAGTACCTATAGTCTTGGTTAAACGATAACCGTGCCAGTTTGTTGTTGGAAAGTTTTGTATATCTGTGTGTTCTCTTTGAGACAAAATTGTATACAGACTGATACTGAAACGTCTTTGTTTTTCTCGTGTGCTAACGGCATAGCTCGAAAAATTATTTGAAGGTTCCACTGGCAACATCCAGAACTAGGGGTCATGTTCAGTGCTGGAGGAGTATTGATGACTGCAACCGAGTTATACTGCGTTTAACTTAGTATATCATTGAGAGTAACCTACTGAATGTTTGTAATGGTTCGGTTCTAGCTATATTACGTTTGATTCGACTGAAGTAAATAATTAATTTTGACCTGTCACATCTTTCACAATTTTTAGTGGTCTATATTGAGGGTCGTTTTTCAAAACTATTCCTAACGGTTGGTACTGCAGACTAGATTTGTTAGTGTGATACCGAGCTATGGAATGAAAGAAGTGAACAAAAATGACAGACAAGAACTGAATCAGTAGATTTATCTTTATTATGATATAACCACCATACAGGCTGATGGGGAAATGTTGGCAAACCACCTGTACCATACATAGGGAAAGTAAGTGTTCTAGAGAGTGATTCGGATTCTGGTAACGTTACATTTCAATCTTTGTGAATTAACACAAGTAAAACTTTACTGGTTATATGAATATGTCTAGCAAGGAAATCTCAATATGAAATTGTCAATTCAGATGTTGAAGAGCTTCTTAAGTGGTGTGTTATATATCATATATATGACTGAAATTATGGGAAAACAAAATATTTGTATTTTATTAGATTTCTCCTACCAAGATTACCAAACAATCGATCTAAGATTAAAAATTTCAGTCTTTCATAGTAAATGGATCCGGTTACAGAGGAGGCACGGGCTGATGGTTTGGATTCTCGACCTGTCAGCTGGGTTAGTGTCTGGGACTTACGGTTGGAAGTTGGCAGGACGGACCATCATTTTCGACTTTTTCAGATATAACCTATAGGAGCCTCCAAACGGGTTCCAATAGATACCGTAGCCACTGTAACTGGTACGGTCGGAGGGACGGAGGTACGGGCCGTTCAGGGCAGAAGTAGTGCAGCCATTGTACCACCAACCTCCTGCGTAGTTACTGTGGCCACCAGCACAGGACCCGGACCATGCATCACGGTCTGAATCCCTAGCACTGAAGCCCTGACCCGATAGGTAGTGATTAGATAAGTCTGATGAGAACCCATCCCCAGCGGTCCCACTGTACCCACTGACAGAAAGGCGATAGTCAGAACCACTCCCCACCGAAAATAACGAATACTTGGCGTACTTGACCACGCTATCCCAATCTTCCAGCTCTATGTACAACTCATACGCGTTCTGTCTGGTCAAATAGTACATATTCTCCAACCCCAACCATTGCTCCCCGTCATTGATAAACCCAAACCCGTGAGCAAAGTCGTTATAAGGTCGGTTAAAGTCGACAGACCCGTCAAACCTCCTCTGTATGACCGTCCACCCTCCCCCATCTGTGGTCTGATCACAGTATACAGAGATCGGGCTGGTCAGACCTACAGGCCTTATGTCGTGTACACCACTAGTCACATCATTTAACATGGCCAATGCCGTGTGGATCTCAGAACAGTCGGAAAAGTAGTTTGTTCGCCCGAGGAGACTAAGGGCCAGGGAAGTCGGGTTGGACGGGGGCTGCTTCAGATGGTCCGGCTGCTCATCGTTGGCTGCTTGTTTCTTCGTACTGGGAGACAGTAGTGATTCTGTAAGTAAACAGCAATGAGAAATAAGATCGCCAGAAGTAAATTTTTGACGTCATGACGCTGTTAAACGACCAATAAGTACCACTTGAACCCGATTTGGGAAGTAACCGGTTTCATTTGCAAGTTGATATCGTGATGTTATTGATTATATTTAATTTTGTATAGTTTAGAGGAGGAGGGCCTAGTATAAGCATTACATGGTTCTCCCCTCCTCCTGCACCTGTTTTATCCTTAATTGTTTTGTATTATTATTGTCTGTTTTGTTAATGTGCAAACAATAAAATCAATCAAAAAATGTTATTTGAATATAGTTAGAAGGAAGAATCAATGTTAATGTATAGAAATTACTGCAGTATTCTTAATTCTGATAGGTGTTATGAATATCCAGACTTGAAGGGTCTTATTTACATCCAACAACATTTTATGGGCAGTTATCATTTACTTTAAATGTAACATATATGATTGAGTTTCACTTTGCTATCCAATCAAAAGCTGATAAAATTACTATGATATTTTTTTACATAAAAGAATTATTTCATTTTGGCTTCTCCAAAGTATGAAGTTGACCATCGTATGATAGACCATCTGCCGTCTGTAGAAAACAGGTGGTGGTATTCTATTGTACACCTGGTACCAGGGTACCCTGCGTTTGTATAGATCAATACGAGTAAATGTAATACGTGTGCCTTACCGCAGTTCCAAACGTCACGTTTCTTCAACTTTTGTGCCACGTCCTTGCAAATTGTCTGCAGATCCGCAACATCTTTGTCTTCAGCGACTTCAACAACTGGAGTTTTGATAAACATATGGTGGCTCATTTAGAGGTGCAAAGACGAATAGTTTACCTTACCTAGGTCTATCTTAGTGACTAGTTAGCAGCTTCGCTTGAAGTGTAACGAAACAGAAAACTCACTCTTTATAAAATATTATTAGACTAAACCTAAAGGCATCAAATGCACTTGTTCTATATGTGATTCATTTGATTGATAAAAATGATCGAAACTATCATAAATTTAAAACACGACAATGTCATGTTCCTTTCCCTTACGTAAAATATCTACGTACATGTAGATAGATTTCTAGTGCTCTTCAGGCTGGCTACAAAAATTGTCTTTCTCCTTATTATATAATTGGCCATATGGAAAAGAACCTGTCCCATATGGTACACGTTTGAAATAGACTTTTCACAATACTTGAACTCATTCTTACCTGTCTTGACACACTCGTTCCACATCTTGCACAGCGACAGGTTAACTTGGTCAGTACGATCGTCCCCTGTACCGGCACACCACTGCAGAACTGCGGTCAGCACGATCAGACGGTAGAACCACATCTTGTACGGCTGATGTCTTCTGTAGGTATGAAACACAACCGGGCGTACCAGACGGCAAAATTCTCATACCGCAGGTATATAGATAAATACCGATAGGGCGTTCGATGTGTGCCTAACCCAGGAATTCGCGTCAAAGTCAAACATTGCTGATTGAGGTTATTGAAGATTATGCATTTTGTGGAAATCCACCAAAACTCAATCATTTAGTCAGTACCTTGCATTCGACACCTATCCACTGATAAGCGTACAGAACCACACATACTTCCAACTAATTATGGAAATATTAATACAATCTTTACATATAACGTTACAATAAGATAAACAATGTAAACCCGCTGCCATGGCAACAGCGTTTTTAATTACCATCCTTGCAAAGTATTTATGCAAAAACAATGTTGCGCTGTACAAACATAACAGCTCCACGTATACATTGAAATCTTTAGTTAACACTTTCCACCATTTTGAGACGAATCCAGGTTTCCTACGTTGGTAGTAGTTTACTAACGTTCCTAGCGGTTGGGTATAGTAGTGCAGAATAGGGCATAATACTAGTAATGTTAACTAGCTATGGTATGAAAAAGAGAAAGCAAACACGACAAAGAAACAAGCACTGCATAGTCATTTTCCTTTATTGTGATATAACCCCCATAAAGGCTGACAGGGAAATGTTTCAAACTTGACAAACCACCTCATGCATTCACAGCCGCGCCGGGAACTTTATGAATGGATATTTCATACAACAAAAGTGCTTCTGGCACATTGCAGTTTTTCATTGATATAACTTAAGTTTATTGTCTGAAAAGATAATCTCACAAGATGAAATTGTCAATTCAGATTATTAAGAGCTTATATAAAGCGGTGTCTGGGATTATATACTGAATGCAGATATGGGAAAAAAACAAAGTATTTGTCTTTTATTATATAGTTCTCCTATAGAGATTACAAAGACTGAATATTTCACATATTCAAATCAAATTAGTGATTTTATGTGGGGTGACGGTTTGTATCAAACACTTTGAATCCTCGACCTGTCAGCTGGGTTAGTGTCTGGGACTTACGGTTGGAAGTTGGCAGGACGGACCATCATTTTCGACTTTTTCAGATAGTAGTTATAGGAGCCTCCAAACGGGGACCAAAAGATACCATAGCCACTGCTACCGGTATGGTCAGAGGGACGGAGGTACGGGCCGTTCAGGGCAGAATAACCACAGGACTTGTACCACCAACCTCCCGCTATGGTACCGTGGCCAGCAGCACAGGACCCGCTATTATAGGCATCACGGTCTACATTCCTAGCACTGAAGGCCTGACCCGTTTGGTAGTAATTGTGAGATGAGTCTGATAAGTAGAACCCATCCCCAGCGGTCCCACTGTACCCACCAACAGAAAGGCGATAGTTGTAACCACCCCCCACCGAAAATGACGAATACCTGGCGTACTTGACCACGCTATCCCAATCTTCCATCTCTATGTACAGCTCATACGCGTTCTGATCGGTCAGATGGTACATATTCTCCAATCCCAACCACTGTTCCCCATTGGATGACCCAAACCCGTTCCTAAAGTCGGCCCATGGTCGGTTAAAGTCGATAGACCCGTCAAACCTCCTCTGTATGACCGTCCACCCTCCCCCATCTGTGGTCTGATCACAGTATACAGAGATCGGGCTGGTCATACCTACAGGCAATATGTCGTATACACCACTAGACACAGCGTTGAACAGGGACAGGGCTGTGTGGATCTGAGAACAATCGGTAAAGTAGTTTGTGCGCCCGCTGATGAGGGCTAGGGAGGCCAGGTCGGTCTGAGGAAGCTGGTCTTCAATATCGTCTGGATGAGGCTCGTCCTTGTCTGCTTGGTCCTGCGCCTCCCCAGACAATAGCGATTCTGTGAGGAAGCGACACTAATTAATTAGTGGAGAAAATACCCCATCAAACAATATCAGGTTCTATGCGGAAAAAAAATTGAGGGTATTTACCATGAACTTGTAAAAGAGGCCTAGGGAAGATTGAAGTCGCTGTTTATTCGGACCTAGCTATAGCCTGGATGCCAGACCCATGGCAAACTAGGCCCAAGTTTGCCATGGGTCCCCTTGATTACATTAATACTCCGCAAATTAGCCAACTAACGTCTTTTGAACCACCCACAATGGCCGAAGTTTTAAACATAGTTAGAAATTTGAAAGATTCCGCTGCTGGTCACGACGGAATTAGTACTAAAATACTAAATATTTCCCTACCTTATATTATACGCCCTCTTACTCATATATTGACTTTATCTATCCAGAACGGAGTGGTTCCTAAACCAACTAAAATTGCAAAAGTGATTCCTATATTTAAAAGCAATGATTCTACCTTAGTTAGTAATTACCGCCCAATCTCAATCCTGCCCTGCATCTCGAAAATTTTGGAAAAACTAATATACAATCGACTTTTAACACATCTAGACCAGAACGATATTCTGTACAAACATCAGTACGGCTTTAGAAAGGGATACTCTACCTCGATGGCACTTATACAACTAATAGATAGAATAAATTCAGCTATTGATAACAATGAATATACTATTGGAATATTTTTAGACCTAAGTAAGGCTTTTGACACTGTTAATCATTCGATTCTTTTAAAAAAACTTAACAAATATGGCATCAGAGAGGTTGCACTTAAGTGGTTTACTAGTTATTTATCCGATAGAAAACAATACGTTGTCCTTAACGATAATTCTTCGTCCTGCAAACCTATAAATTGCGGAGTCCCCCAGGGATCGATTTTAGGGCCCCTCTTGTTTTTATTATATGTAAACGACCTTGCTGAAGCATCCAAAATTATGTTCTTCATACTTTTTGCCGATGATACTAATCTCTTTCTTTCACATGTAGATTTTGATTCTCTAATCCAACTAGCCAATCAAGAAAGAATTAGAAAAAGTTATTACATGGTTCGAAGCAAACAAACTATCGGTTAATATCAAAAAGACCTATTATTTTATCTTTTGTAGCAAAAATAAGGCAAATAAGAGAAAAAATCCCACCATCTACTTAAAAAACCACATTCTCTCCAAAGAATCTCAGGCTAAGTTTTTGGGAATACAAATAGACGACCGCTTAACCTGGAAGCCCCACATCGCTATAGTCGTTAATAAAATTTCAAAAACAATCGGGATCATAGGGAAAATTAGACATCTTTTATAAAAAAAAACCTTTATAACCATCTATAACAGTTTAATTTATCCATATCTTGCATATTGTAATATTGTCTGGGGAAATGCCTACAAAACCTCTCGGCATCCTATATCAATTCTACAAAAAAAATTTACTACGCATTGCCACTGGTTCTAGTTTTTACTACCCACTCTTCGCCTCTATTTAAAAAACTTAGACTTTTGAACATTTACGACATAAACAGATTTCAACTTGTACTTTTCGTAGCCCAATATATAAACCATAAACTCCCGGACACATTTGATGACTTTTTTAATTTCGTTCTCAGATTCACAACTATCAAACTCGCAAACGTTCCGATTTTCATATCCCCCTAGTAAAAACTTCTCTTGCCCAAATGTCGGTTAGATACAAAGGTGTCACCTTATGGAATGAACTAACTCCAGCCCTAAAGAATCCTACCTTGTCTCTTCTCTCACTTAAACAAGCTTTGAAAAACCATCTGATTAACGAACCTAGCCCCCTGTAGTAGTTTTATTTAGTGTTTTCTCCTATTATAACTTATACCAATTATTATCATTACCTTATTTTCATTGTCATTAACTTATACCATACATTATTTCATTATCCTTATTGTATTATTTCCATTCTCTATTGTATTATTTCCATTTATTAATTATATTTAATTTTGTATAGTTTAGAGGAGGAGGGCCTAGTATAAGCACGCCATGCTTCTCCCCTCCTCCTGCACCTGTTTTATCATTGTTTTTATATTATTAGTGTCCGTATTATTGATGTGCAAACAATAAAATCAAAATCAAATCAAGTTATCCTGTGTGCACACTGAGATACTTTGGGTCCTGTGTGCTATGGGTCTGGCATCCAGGCTAATTCAGACCTCAAGCATGTGAATAAAACGAAGGTCCTATTACCCAAATCTCGAGCTCAGTGAGGTAATTTTTCTTTGTTAACGACAAGAAACAACGAGTATATACGATTGAATATGGAGCTAATAATATTATTTAGAATATCATACAAAGTTATACAGTTGATGATGAACAACGCCATTAAGTTCACGGCCAGGCAATCAACATTTCATAACTTCATACGACGGAGTAAGAACCATAAACTAACCACAAGTCGATGGGTCGAGTGAGTTGAGCTCGTCCCCTACAGCTCTGCACAGGTCCTTTATTAGGGAGCTGGCACTGGGACTGGGTTTAGACAAAGCTGCAAGGAGAAAATAATCTTACAGAATGTTTCTCTTCCACCCAGAACTTACAACGTAAACTTTTAATTTCACAGCTTCAAAGAAAATGGATACATTGAGTGAGCACGGGATGATGGTTGGCGTCAATTTGTGAATCCTTACATTTCACCTGGACTGGTGACTAGCAACTCACAGTTGGAAGGTTTTTTTTTATTACACAACATGGCACAGTATACAGAAACAGTGGTGACGCACCGTAAAAAGGAATTAAAACTGACAATAACAGATATAAATAGCACATAAACATACATCATTTGGCTTATATAGTTTAGAGTAACAATGGGGTAAAAAAAGGCAGTTGTAGCATTGTGAATTGAAGGGTGTCATAAAGTTGAAAAGTGTTTAGTGTTAACAATGTATGATTGGGTTAACAACAAAATATTACAGTTGGTTTCTAGTGACGACAAGGGTGAACCCCTGAGAAGCAAGCTGATACGGGCTTGGTCGGATAGGTTGTTAAAATCGAGAATGGATCCTACTTCTGAAGACTGCCACCGAGAAGGTTTGCTCGTTGTTGGTTGTAAGTAGGGCAGTATGGTACGAAATGAACCACGCTTTCGCATCGACACCCGCAGCTACAGGCTGGACTAGAAACTAAATTTGTTGACGGAAGTTGGCAGGACGGACCATCAGTTTGGGATATACTACGCCGACTTTAAAGATGTTTAATAACCTTTCGGAAGTAGGAAACAACACTCACCGATCCCCTGGCATCCTTCCCTGATTTTACACAGGTCCAATGCGCGCCAGGTGTATTGCGTGTCCCCGTCCTGCGATGTTCCACAGACGGTGGTGCAGACAGCAGTGATGAGTAGGATCAGGTACAGCATCATGGCGGCGGTCAGGCTAGTCGGCAGTCTGGATACAAACCTACAGTACCCTGGTATTTAAACCTTACTACATCTGCCAGTATTTACCAGTCACTTTAGACAGAAATATCCTAAAATAAACTGACATTTCATATGTGACTTTGCTTCTTCCTTCCTTTATTTATTTATTAAAGTTGGCATAACACTAAGCGAGTCAAATGATTCTAGTATAGTTTATCCTGGTAATTTGTCTAGTTATCGATACAGCAATATGGGGTGTTTGGGGTCTTTCCAGAAATTTTGTACTTTTACCTGTATTCAAAAGTTATTATACGTACCATTAGAAATGACTCTATCTTCCACTTGTACCAAAACGTGAATTCGGCATTTCCTCCTTTATTTATGAATGTTGACTAAACACTGAGCGGTCCTAATGTACCAAGGAATTTTTACACCGGTAACCTGGCTAGCTACCTGTACAGTAATATTGTGTGTTTACCTTACAGAACTCGTGCACTTCTGACGGTATTCAAAAGCAAATATACGTGCCATTGTAAATGAATTCATCTTCCAACTGTACCAAAACGTGAATTCGGCATTTCCTCCGTTCTTTATAAATGTTGACTCAACACTGAGCGAGCCAAATGTACCAAGGAATTTTCCAATATCATTTAGACCGGTCATCTGGCTAGCTACCTATAGAGCATTATTGTGTGCTAAACGTACAGACCTCATACACTTCTATTGGTATTCAAAAGCAAGTATACGTGCCATTCTAAATGACTTAATCTTACACCTGTACCAAAACGTGAATTCGACATTTCCTCCGTTCTTTATAAATGTTGACTCAACGCTGAGCGAGCCAAATGTACCAAGAAATTCTCCAATATCATCCGGACGGGTAACTTAGCTCGTTACTTCTGAAATTATGCATTTTGTGTTTACAGAACTCGTGATCTTTTACCGGTATTCAAACTATTCTACATACTTTGTTGTTTATTTGCACATATACACAACAAAATACATGATCAAATAATGAAAAAAATGGACAAATATGCCGGGGAGGCCTGAAACCTTAGTAGTTTTTGTGGGCCTTCCCCCGACGAAATAATAAATGTTATACTAATATGCGTGATTTACATAATTACTACATTAACAAGAAATCAAATTGTGATACAGTATTACATTTTTTTCATAACAAATGAAAATAATCCGCGCGCGGATGTCACCCATTAAATTAAACCAGACTGAGTGTGGCCTTATAGAAGATCAGCATCGCAGCAACGGCCAAGTGGTTCATGCAGCCCAATACTAAACTGACCAAAGTACCCACCATAAAGATAGATAGCAAATGACTTGCACACTCAAAATTGTCATGGAAAAACTTACTGAAATTGCAATGATTTTACTTCTACGTTCATGGACTGCAATTCTCGCTTGTAAACGAGTTTCTGCTAATACGATCAAATTGCTTACATGCAGCGTAACCCACACCACATGATGTTTGAGAATGTATAAAATGAGACAGAAATATAGTATTCATGAAACTTGTCTTTTGTTCCTTTTACAACCGAGTTAACCAGTGAACAATTAACGATTTTTGTTGCCATACACCCTGTGTAAATACACTTTCCTGATAGGGATCCAGGGTCCAACGGTCTTTCTCTAGAAACACTCTCTTGTGGAACAGCCGTGTACAATCATGTCACTGCTGGAGGCTAGACTTGGAGGGAGGGTCAACATTCTTGTCAAACTTTTTGAGCTGGTGAGTACACGCCCCCCCCCCACAGACCAGGCAGAAATGTCTAACTTTGTTGGGCTTTGTTGTCGGTGAGAGGTCAGTAAAACCATGCGTGCACGTTAATATCGACCTACATGTACATGTAGCCCGTGTACATGTAACCCTAAGTACAATGATGAAAGTTCGCAATCAAATTGGAAAGTATTAGAACAGTGTAAAGTTTACTGTGCTTTTTGAGCCATATTGCCACATTGCCATATAAGTATCTGCTTCCACCAAAACTGATAATTAATAAAAGTAGCCTCGAGCTCCTTCGCAGACTTGAATGGCGGTGGCGCTAATGTTTTGTTGTTGTTTTTTTAGGGGGGGGGGCGATACGTGATTTTTTTTCGAAATTTACAAAATCTTTCAACATTTCACGGCAGTATGATAGTCTCCACCAGGCTCTTTTGTAGGCTGAATAAATAGTAGAAATCGGTCTGAAAATATAGCTGACCAGGGGAGTTGGCCAGCGGCAATAGAGGGTCCAGTTTTCCTGCATTTCTGCTATGTAGCAGCCTGCAAAAGAGTCTGGTGGAGACTAGAGGTATGAGATTTCCGAACTCTTGTCCTTTGTGTCTCAGATGTTGGGTATTGTTGCCTGGGCTGTCCTGGCGACCGTCCATGGCACGTTCAGCGGTATGTGGTGGGGACAACATTACGTCATGGCAGCCTGCGTGACGTCATGGCTCATCACGCTAGTCCTCCTGGTGTTGGCCGGGTCCGGAAAATTCTCCAACGATACTCTGGTAACATATCAATATTAATTTTCTTTTTTTTTTTATTCACAACCAAGTCGTACTACATATGAAACTGTGCCAAATGTTTGTTTGTAGCGAATTGTTTTGGTTTGGTTTTCCTGTATTGCCCACGATCATGATGATGATCATTCTGGCGTACTAATTTTCACCTGAGCGAAATGAGGAAAGTCGTGTAAAGTTCCTTTCCCATGGGCAAAAGGTTGCTGACTTGGTAGGATTCGAACCCTGGACCTCGTGGTTCCGAGCCGAATTCTCTGTCGTTAAGATACACGACACCACCAGTTTTTAAACTCCAAGTGTAAATTGAACATATTTCAGTGATCACACTTCAATGTTCAAGAAAATAAAACTTGAAACCATTTGTTTACCACGACCCGACGTTTCGATGACCGTCTGTCATCTTTATCAAGGCTAACATACAGTATTTTTGTAGGCACGTCCCTCTCTCAAAGTTTTAGCTGTTTACGTTTTAATAGTCGCTTGACGGTCAATGCCACAAATTTCCCTATTATGTTCATACTGTCAGTCCAATGCTGTATGTAATGCTATGTCTTCCGTTGTCAGAATCTGGTGTACGGGTTTCTGGCCGCCATCGCCTATGTCGCCGCCGCAGTGATTCAGTGTTGGAACGCCAACCGGAACTACGGACGAGCATACTCCGTGTATGAAAGACACATCATCTCTGCCGTGAGTTTACCTTTAGGCAGCCATTAAAGGAGTCCATTGCAATTTCATGGTGGCAAAACTCAACTTTCAAGTCAATTATCTGCTCATTATTTTCATGTAGTAAGCCGATGCCTCCATAGAATACTGATATTTGTGATGTCGCTGATGGAAAATGGTTGCTTGTTTCGTATCGTAGGCTATTTTTGGGGTCATTTCCAACACTTCAAGTATGAAATAATGACGAAAATGTACTAAGGAATGGCATGGGAAATACGTTTTGTTGCTTTTACCGCCCTGAAATTGCATTGGATGCCTTTCCCATTAGATGTCAATTATATCATCACGAAGTAAAAAAAGGTAATAATATGTATCAAAGGTGAAGTAGAAATGTTAGTTTTATTTACATAGCATATAACTGTTTAGACACAGTAACTTGACCTGAAGTTTTGTGTTTTCCAGTCTTTCACTGTGGGAACCGCCGCTGTGTACTGTGCAGACCTCATTCTGATGCTGAAGCTGTGCAAGTGTGTGTGTATCATTAGATCATAAGGGACAGCCAAGTGTGTGTGTGTGTGTGTGTGTGTGTGTGTGTGTGTGCGTGCGTGCGTGCGTGCGTGTGGTGTGTGTGTGTGCGCGGTGTGTGTGTCAAAAAGACAGAAAGAGACTGAAAAAATATAACTGGAAAACTAAATAGAATAAATACAACAATACACACGTTTCAAAATGGTGAATAGATTACTAAATCTTGACAAGAAAACAGACGTTTATGATAGTCTTTATTGCACGAGCACAACTTCAACTCACTACTGTGACCGATACAAGACCAGCTTGTTCAGGCCGTCTTACTCATACATTCTAGATATAATCTGTTCTTATATGTTGTTAGAATCACAAAGGTTGTGCTTATATATTTTTTCAATTCTAACATTTGAGGAATTTTTTTGAAGCTGTTCCAAAACGTTTTGTATGACCACTAGCAATGGATGAATAAATGAATTCGAATGAATGAATGAATGAACTACATACATATGACAGAATAATACAGAAATACGTAGATAGATATCAATTAATCCATTGCTCTGAAGTTTTAACATCGGAAAAATGAGAAAAAATACTCTTGTACCTTATGGGTAAACGATTAAAATACATTTTACTTCCGGATACAGAAGTATGGTTTTTGGGTGGCTGACGTTTGTTTGGGTTTGTTTGTCTGGACAGAGTAGGTTGAAAGCACGTAGGTGGAAAATCAAAAAGATTGACAGGCAGAATGACAGGAGGTCCAAAGGTCAGGAAAATGGTGGTGGGTTGATAGCACTTCGGTAGGGAAAAGATTGATCGACAAGCAGAATGACAGGGCCTCAGTGACAGGGCCTCAAAAGGCATAGGAAATTGTGGTAGATTGATAGCACATTGGTAATAGGGAAAAGGTTAACAAGGAGATTTACAGGTGCTCAAAAGGTCAGACACAGCAAATGGGGGTGGGTTGAAAACATAGGAAATGCGATAAACTTGAAGGTCACGGGAACCCAAAATACTTCCCGGAAGTCTGTCTGAAGGTAGCCTCATTCGCAGACTCGTGGGGCATATGACGGCGTTAATTTTTTTAATTCACGAGTTACACATTCCCAGGATCCTTTGCGCCCAGGGTAGGTCACGTGGGCGCAAAGGATCCTGGGAATGTGCAACTCGTGAATTCTTCCGGGAGTGACGCGAGTTTTGCCGCCGAAGGACTTTGCCGGGGAGAAAGGGTTTCGCCCCCTAACAACCTTGAGCGAGGAAACTCTCTCTACGCGGCAAAGTCCGTCGGAGGCAAAATCGTCCCTCGGCGGCATAACTCGCGTCGCTCCCCGAAAAAATAAACGCCGCCGCCCCACAAGTCTGCGAACTACTAGGCTAGTGAATGGACGATTTCTTGTTTTGCTCACGGGCAGCAGAAGCGCACTTCGTAGTCCTGGCAGG